TTCCATCTAATTTGTTATTATTTGGTGCAGGCACGAAACATACTACCAATATAAATACATTGCTTCTAAAATCGTTCTGTGTCAGAATACTTAAATCTGTATTTTTTAAATGTATTTTTCCTTCTAATTTGTTATTATTTACATTGCTTTTAAAATCGTTCTGTGTGACACGAAAAAAATGGCGAAATCGTGTTGGTGAACACGAATCAATAGATTAATTTCGTGACTATAACACGAAATGCCGTGAGACTGTGTTGACATATTAGCACTTGTTAGCTTGCCTTATAGAGTGGTGCCGACGACACGCAAGTTAGCATCCCAAGGGCTCCTTTGCAAAGGGACTTCCCCGTTGGATTTCGGTATATTACATAAAATAAGCTCTGAACACGTTTTGTTCAGCAGGATAACCTCCACTTATACAAATCTAACGTTAGGCTACAAAGGCTCTACATCGCGGTCCCATGGCTGCACATCACCACCGCTAAGCTAAAGGTGGCTAATGTTTGCCGTTTAGTAGTCTCATTTATAAACTTGTTAGCAACCAAAGTTTGAGGGACACATAGAAGCTTCAGACTTTCACGAGGAGTAGTTACTGATCTTTATGTCTATAATCTCACACGCTTGTGATAACCACAGACTTTAGGTGCATCTCACTTTGGTTAAATGGATTCCTCCTTGCGTCCCTCACTTGCGTCGTTTCCCTGCAACTAGTCCCTCCCACCAGGGAAGCATGGAGAGATGCAAGGAAACCACGAGAAGCAGGGAAATGAGTTTTAAGAGCAATGGGACGTCCTTTCCTCCGGAGCGTCACGGTGAAGCGACGTCCGTTTGTGATGACGCCGCACAGCTGATCGTCTGACAGCAGCCAGATCAGTGCATGCGCTGCATCGTCCAATCAGTGAGCGATACACAGTAAGGGGGCGGGGCGAGTGTCTGAGGATTTCACCGGAGGATGGTCTGGTAGTTCCTCGATTATCGCTCCTCTGTTATCACTCCTCGATCCTCGATCCTCGGTCCTCCGGCAAAAATAAGGCCACTGGGACGGCACTCAAGATGGCGCAGACAAATCAACTTCTGGTGATACCGAGCCCGAGGAGCGAGGAAATGAAAAATAACCGAAGTGAGACGCACCCTTTATTTCAGGCGTCTAACCAAAAACACGTAAACAAATCTGTTGACTTTAATACCATGGAATCTGAAGTGCTAAAATGCTAACTCATTTCTAGGTTTTAGGACTCTTTCCTGCACCACTCTATATAGCCTTCTCATGAACACAACATAAATAGTTTATCAGCTTATGTTAGCAGCTGCAAAAAATAGCAATTAAAACCTCTTATATCATCCAAACAGCACACAGCAACAGAGTGATTCATGCATGAATCAAATTGCTCACTGTGTAAATTCAATATCGCACAGTTCAAACAACTCAAACCAACAAAATACAGTCAGTCTGTATGTGTGTAGCAGACCTCGGGTCATTTTATGACCTAAATCTCTATACGTGCATACTAAATTGTATCAAGTCTAATTAGCTCACTCTGTAGCAACACGAGAACAGGATCTGGCCTTGGAGCTTGTTTGCTGCACATATGGAAATGAGATGCTTGTTTATTGGAAAGGTTAATTTTTGTTTATCTTAATACAATTCTCACATGTCCATATGTTCATTTGCAGAGTTACTGGCAGTTGTAGTTATTCCTCCTCTCCACACTCTGTCCTCAAAGTGCAGGTCCAATTTAAGAAATGGGAGATGAATTCCACAAATTATAAAGTTATTATTCTTAATGCAACATCCTCTGAGTCCAGTTTAAACCATGACAGTGTGACAGAGAGCCAGTTAACTCACACACCAGGACCCAAAAACTGTTGCCGCTACATGTAATTTAGCCATAATTTGCGTTATTATTTACACCTGTGCTTTTCCAGGCGAGTACTGATTGCTGCCTCCTGATTGGTCCACCGGATGACATCAGTCCTATTTGAGCTTCAGCATGACACAGAGAACCAGCATTGGGTGTGTTTTGAGATGCATCGTGGTGTGTTTCAGTTGGGCCTAATGTTAGATGTTTACTTTTAATAACGGTATTTTGTCTTCAGCAATCTTTAGAGTGGTGTTGTTTCACTACTTGATTATGTTAACTTACTTAACTATACTGCAATTTATATGTTCTGTCTGAAAGTGTATTTGAATTGTATTGATGAGTGTTTCAGTCTATATTTACTGTTAGTCTGCTTATTTATTTTTTGCCTTTTTATCCGCAATGTCCCCTTTCCCTTAACAATGTTAATAAATACAATATTTATGACTCATTTGTGAAGATTATCTTGCTGAACAAAATGTGTAAGCTGAGTAAAACTGGTGTTTTTCACAATGTTCCACTTGCAAAGTCTTAATACTACATAAGTGTGTGTTCAAATGGGCACTTTATATGAATATGGTATTCATCAAACAACATGAACAATCAACAAATGTGCATGTTACTTATAAAGTGAGCTAAACAGTAGCCAGGTGCTAACGGTTAAAAAGAGGTGTCAATCACCAAAATCGACCGATGGGTTCCAGAGATATGGCAAATACACTCAAATTAGTTTTTTTTTCTAAACCTCTCTAAAAAGGTCAAATGTCACTTGTTTTGCATCAATCTTGATACAGGGTAGCCTACTTATTATATGTCATAGTTTCGATTCCTAAAGCTTTTAGTCTACTATCCCATCATTCAAGGGTGGTTTTCACTATAAGTCATGTTTTATTTTGGACGGACACTATAATTTACATTTTTTTTTACTATGTTCAATCTGAATTTACTTTAAAATAAAACAATTCTATACTGATTCTCACTCTTCTACATCCAACTCACAGGTATCATTGCTTTGAGAAAAAAGATTATTAATTTACCCCTTTTAGAAGTGAAGATTGTTCTGGGCATGTCATTTTCGAGCCTGAAACCTGAAAAACAGGTTCAGGGCTTAACAGGTTAATAATTCCTCTGTTCCTCCAGCCTTTCCCCATTATTATTTTTGTCATTTCTCGGGCTCAGAGGGTGCAGCCTGCTGTGTTTGCTAACCAGAGCAGAAATAAACTGTTTGTCCACCATCTTCATAATCAACCCCTCCCATTTCTGTCCACCCAAAATACAGAATAAATACTTACAGTCTGTTACACACTGCACGTGCATTCCTTGTTTCTCAAACACTACACACAAAGGCATCTTTCTTTTTCTCAATTGGTGGCTTTTCTTTCAAAATAGCAGTTCAAAATAAAGCTGTGAGCATGTTAATATGTCTTGTACTGTACACATCAGTCAAATGCAGACACAGTGATTACTTGTGTCAGGTTGGCATTAATGAAAGCAGGTTTTCTCTGTTTTCAGCGCTGGTTTTCCCACCACCGCATACAAGACGCCAAAATATATATAAGCTCTTGTTTATATGTCATATATTTAGGCTTGGATTCATTGAGTGCCACAGAGTTTTCCAAAAGCTGCTTCTTCAATAGCAACTTTTGTATTCAGCCTAATTCAATAGTACAACATCGTCACTCATGTCGCCAAAATGGACAACAAGGAACAACTCTGCAGCTACCTGAGCTTTTCCCGCCTTTTTTAGCTAACGGTAAAGCACACTAACTATATTGTTGTGGTTTTAGTACTCCATCAACCTTTGTAAGCAGCTTCTCTTGTCAAAAAAGGCTAACTAGCTTTACTAAAAGCTGCACAGTGAAAAGCTAGTAAAAACGAAGAAAGCTAACTATGCAGAAATGGTATTAGTTGAGACGTGTTAGCCTTAATAAGCTAACATATTTAAGTGTGATTTTTGATGCTGTCTGTATCTGCTAAGGGACACTGTTACACAATTGATTCACACTTTAAAAGAAATCCAACTAAAAGCTTTTAAGACCACAACAAAGAACATTGACAATGCTTTTCACAGCAGAGCCCTTCACGTGCATCTTTGAACAACTGTGTAAATTAAAAAAGAATATATGAATACAATTATCTTGTGATTTACAAGAGATCACACTCTTCAAATTGGCAAAGCAAAACCTGGATTTTCAAAGAAATGTTTTTGCTTTTAATTGCAATTTTCTCTGAATTGTAGAAAACATCATATTGTAAAAATGATAACACAATTTGATCAAGTGTGTCTTGACGTCCACACATTTGTTTCTACCTTTAATTACCTTTTATTTTACCTCCATACTATACTTAGTTTTTAAATTAACTACACACTTCGTCTTAAATGTTATTTTATAAGAATTAAATGGACACAACTGTAAGTGCAACAGCAAAACACGGTGAAATTAGACATTAAAAAGATAGAAAGACATAACAAATATTAAAATGTAATATATTTATTTACAAATTTAAAGTCCAATTAAATACATACAAATACGTCAACAGTTCGAAATAAACAGAATGACAGACGGAAAAGAACAGGGAAGAGAGGGAGGGAGAAAGAGAAGACAGAGAGACAGACAGCCAAGAAAGGGACAAACAGGGAAGAAGAAGAAAGACAGAGAAGCACAGACAGAGAAGAAGAAGGAGAAGAAGAAGGACAAGACGAAGACAGAAGAAGACAGAGGAACACAGAAGAAGACAGACGGAGCAAGCACAAGAACACAGAAGAAGACAGAACACAGAAGGAGCAAGCAGAAGAGGACAGAAGAAGACAGAACACACAAGGAGCAAGCAGAACACAGAAGGAGCAAGCAGAAGAAGACAGAACACAGAAGGAGCAAGCAGAAGAAGACAGAAGAACACAGAAGGAGCAAGCAGGAAGAAGATAGAAGAACACAGAAGGAGCAAGCAGAAGAACACAGAACACAGAAGGAGCAAGCAGAAGAAGACAGAACACAATAGAAGACAGAAGAGAAGACACAGAAGAAGACAGAAGGAGCAAGCACAAGAACACAGAAGAAACAGAAGACACACAGCGGAGCCAAGCAGAAGAGGACAGAAGAAGACAGAACACACCAAGGAGCAAGCAGAACACATGAATGAGCAAGCAGAAGAAGACAGAAACACAGCAGGAGCAAGCAGAAGAATGACAGAACACAGAAGGAGCAAGCAGAATAAGACAGAACACAGGAAGGAGCAAGCATAATAATACATAACACATAATTATCAATCATAATACATAATAAACATAATAATACATAATACATATAATCAATCACAATAATACATAATAATAATAATACTTCAAATGTAATTATATTATTGTGGGTACAGGTGGGGATGAAATGCTAAATTTGCTAAATGCTAAAGTTCTTTCCCGTCGTTCTTCTGCGCTCTCCCTTGTAGTTTCAGCTCTCTCCCCCGTAGTTTTGCCGCTCATCACCATCGAACTTGGCGCTCTCCACGGTCGTTCTTCTGCGCTCTCCCATTTCTGACATCGGCACTCACCCATTGTCGTCTGCGCTCTCCCCCGTCGTTCCTTCTGCACTCTTACCTGTCTGACGTTGTAGCTCTCCCCCGTAGTTTTGGCTCTCCCTTGTAGTTTCAGCTCTCTCTTCCTTAGTTTCAGTGCTCTCTACCGTAGTTTTGGAGCTCAACACCATCGAACTTGGTGCTCTCCCCCGTAGTTTCGGCGCTCTCCCCCGTAGTTTTGGCGCTCTCCCCCGTAGTTTTGGCGCTCTCCCCTGTAGTTTTGGCGCTCTCCCCCGTAGTTTTGGCGCTCTCCCCTGTAGTTTTGGCGCTCTCCCCTGTAGTTTTGGCGCTCTCCCCCGTAGTTTTGGCGCTCTCCCCTGTAGTTTTGGCGCTCTCCCCTGTAGTTTTGGCGCTCTCCCCCCGTAGTTTCAGCTCTCTCAATTGTATTTTCGGCGCTTTCCCCCGTAATTTTGTCTCCCTCCCCCATAGTTTCAGCGCTCTTGTAATTTCAGCCCTCCCCCCTTAGTTTTGGTGCTCAACCCCATCGGACTTGGCACTCTCCCCCTTTAATATCTCCTTCTCTTGACACACCTGGGCTCCTCCTCCCCCTCTGGAGGATCCCCAGGGTGTCGCTTTCTCTTCCTGGTGCTCAGAGACGAGCCTTCTGTGGGATAAAAACGTTTAAAAGTTTGAAAAACCTCCAGACAAATTACTGATTTGTATACAGGACAGTAGTGGAAAGTAACTAAGTACATTTACTCAAGTACTGTACTTAAGTACACATTAAGGTACTTCATGTTATACTACTTTATACTTCTACTCTACTACATTTTGGAAGCAAATATTATACTTTTTAATCCTCTACATTTATTTCATGTGACAGATTTACTTACTAGATACTTTTAAAAATTACGATTTTGCAATACTTAGGAAAAACCTTTAAAATATGATTATTTGGTATCGATTGAACCATCCAACATTATATTTAAGTAACTCAAGGCTGGTGAACTGAACATTTATTGGCAGCAATTTAACTTCACAGTCCCAGCTTCTTAAATGGGAAAGTTTGCTGCTTTTGCTTTAAAATATTAAACAAATATTTAACATTATAGGGAGGCTGTGGCGCAGTGGGATAGTGTGTTGGTGTTCGGATCAGGGGGTCACAGGTGCAAACCCCACTGCAGTCAGCATGTCGTTGTGTCCCTGAGACACTTCACCCCAAATTGCTCCTGTGGGGACTGTCCACAGTATTGAGTATGTTAGTCGCTTTGGATAAAAGCGTCTAACAAGTGACATGTAATGTAATTATTTTCTGCAATGAGTTCATTTACTCCTAACACTTTAAGTACATTTTCCTGATCGTACTTAAATTCTACTTGAGGACGATTCTCTATGCGGTACTTTTACTTGAAATGTATTACATCTACAGTGTAGTATTAGTACTTTTACTCAAGTAAAGAATCTGAATACTTTTCCCACCTCTGAAACAGGACAAGGTTAATCAATTGAATAAATCTCAAAGATGAGCTTACGTGTGTTTGCCTCCTCCTCTTCCAGGCTCGTCTTCCTCATCTTCCTCTCCGGAGAGCCACTGCGTTCATTTCTGCACAGAAGAAACTTGTTTGGATCTCTTGACTTTTAACAGTGATTTTAGTAAATCGTTACAAACTGATAACTTAACACCTACTTTAACTCGATGTGTGAAGCTAAGAAAGTGTCCCACGTCCACTGTCCCCTGGGTTTTCTCTCCGCTTCTTCAGAATCATCACGCTTCCTTTTCTTCCTCTCCGGTGAGGAATTGATTTGCTTTCTGCATTTTAAGAAGGTTTTTTTTTTGTTTTTGTAAGTGTATAATGACGATAAAGGTTTCTATTCTATTATATTCAAACAGTACAGACAAAGAGAAGAACACCTACCTTAATCCTGAGGCTACAAAAGTGTCCCACGTTCGCTTTCTCCCGGGTTTTCCTTCAGCCTCAGAATCATCCCTTTTTCTTTTCTTGCTCTCCGGTGAATCCTTGACTCGCTTTCTGCATTTTAAAGAATGTTTTTTTAGTTTTTAACCACATGAATTGTAACAGTGAGCTTCAAACAGTAACAAATATAATAACACCTACTTTGACACGATGTGGGACGCTAAGAAAGTGTCCCACGTCCGCTTTCTCCCCGGTTTTATTTCGGCCACACGGATCGTAGTCTCTGGATAAAAGGACAAGGAAACAAAGCAAAGGTCAATCAAAAACTGATTAAATGAATCACCAGATTCTTAGATTCATCCGCCTGTGAAACATCCCCTCTTAGTTTCAGATTTAAGATCTGCACCAGCTGTGTGTAAGTATAAACTATAAACTACTACTAAAATTATTATTTATGAACAGTTGTGTTTTGTCTACTTTTTGATGTCTGGATGATTTCTGTGTTCCTGCTCTTGCTCGATGGTCTGTCTCTCTCCGGGCTGCTGCATTGACAAAAAAATGGGTTTTAATATCTCCAATTATAACTGTAAATATCATATCATATAAAAAATGAATTATTGCGTTAATTATCTATTTAAACAATATTTAGAAATGTTGTGTTAAGATATGCAAACAAGGCATTATATCCTTTCAAATGAGCTAGTTTACATTTTCTTGAACAAAAATCTTTCATTATTAAGCAAAAACAAAACATTGACATATTAAATTCAAAGGTTTAACTAAAGGAATTTGTTAATATCCATTAGTATCACTACATAAATCAGAACACACTGTCTAAAGCCATACAATAAATCACATTTTTGATCAATAAACTACACAAACCTCTGTAAAAACTTTCTAGAAAATGGCTTTTAAAGATGTGTAAAGTAATAGTAATATGAAGTAAATGAAACACCTCTGTGTGTAATTTGCACGTTTTCTCTCTACTACACTGATAGAAGACATGTAATAGAAGAAATGTCCTAAAATGGACCTGTGTGTGTACATAAAGATCTCCGGTCCTACAACACTTACCTGTCGTCACCGCGGGGTTTTCTCCTCGATGATTTCCTCAGCGCCTTCCTCCCGGTTCTCTCTTGTTGGCAGGGTGGAGGCGCAGTGCTAACTTGCAGCGGCGGGGACACAGGCTTTACAGCAACAGGCGATTGAGGAGGGGGTTGTTGTTGTTGTTGTTGTTGTTGTTGTTGTTGTTGTTGACTCTCTTCATCGTTTATGGAGAGGCTGTCCGATACCTGGGACGAGATGCCCAGGATGAGGGGGTGTTCTTGGGTCCTGAACCAGGCGGGGGGGCCCTCTGCTCCGCTGGTGGAGGGCGACAGGTTCATCTGACCCCCGTCAAAGCCCTCACTCTGATCCAGGCAGACCTCCATCTTTTCACAGCTGGATTTCACGCTGAAAAGAAGAAGAAAAAACATTGTTAAAACTAGGGATGCTCCGATCGCCAATTTTGGGGCCGATCGCCGATCGCCGGAATCAGTATCTGCCGATACCGATCGCCGATCCGATCGAGTGGGCGGGGCCTAAATGGAAGATTTAAACATCACTTTAAATCTTCCATTTAAAGTGATGTTTAAAACTCAGTTAATGGGGCTCATTCACTGGAGCTTCCACAAACAACAATCAACTTAATTATTACATTCAAATTATGTATATTATTCAAGTTTACATTAACTTTGGATAATACCACGGGAGAAATGAGCAAGCGCTCTCTTTTCCTCTCTCTCCCTCTCTCTCTCCCCCCTCTCTCCCCCTCTCTCTCTCTCTCCTGACAGCCCGTCAGTATCGTCTCATGCAGCTCGCTGATCCAGTAATGTGTGAGGCCGACAGTGAAGAATAAACATATTTATAACTAGTTTAGCTTGTTCCAGAGGTAGATAAAATAGCTAAGTGTGTTAGGTCTAACTCTTGTGTGTTTCGCTCCGCTCACCGGTTTCTATTCTATTATATTCAAACAGTACAGACAAAGAGAAGAACACCTACCTTAATCCTGAGGCTACAAAAATGTCCCACGTTCGCTTTCTCCCGGGTTTTCCTTCAGCCTCAGAATCATTCCTTTTTCTTTTCTTGCTCTCCGGTGAATCCTTGACTCGCTTTCTGCATTTTAAAGAATGTTTTTTTAGTTTTTAACCACATGAATTGTAACAGTGAGCTTCAAACAGTAACAAATATAATAACACCTACTTTGACACGATGTGGGACGCTAAGAAAGTGTCCCACGTCCGTTTTCTCCCCGGTTTTATTTCGGCCACACGGATCGTAGTCTCTGGATAAAAGGACAAGGAAACAAAGCAAAGGTCAATCAAAAACTGATTAAATGAATCACCAGATTCTTAGATTCATCCGCCTGTGAAACATCCCCTCTTAGTTTCAGATTTAAGATCTGCACCAGCTGTGTGTAAGTATAAACTATAAACTACTACTAAAATTATTATTTATGAACAGTTGTGTTTTGCCTACTTTTTGATGTCTGGATGATTTCTGTGTTCCTGCTCTTGCTCGATGGTCTGTCTCTCTCCGGGCTGCTGCATTGACAAACAAATGGGTTTTAATATCTCCAATTATAACTGTAAATATCATATCATATAAAAAATGAATTATTGCGTTAATTCTCTATTTAAACAATATTTAGAAATGTTGTGTTAAGATATGCAAACAAGGCATTATATCCTTTCAAATGAGCTAGTTTACATTTTCTTGAACAAAGATCTTTCATTATTAAGCAAAAACAAAACATTGACATATTAAATTCAAAGGTTTAACTAAAGGAATTTGTTAATATCCATTAGTATCACTACATAAATCAGAACACACTGTCTAAAGCCATACAATAAATCACAATTTTTGATCAATAAACTACTCTGTAAAAACTTTCTAGAAAATGGCTTTTAAAGATGTGTAAAGTAATAGTAATATGAAGTAAATGAAACACCTCTGTGTGTAATTTGCACGTTTTCTCTCTACTACACTGATAGAAAACATGTAATAGAAGAAATGTCCTAAAATGGACCTGTGTGTGTACATAAAGATCTCCGGTCCTACAACACTTACCTGTCGTCACCGCGGGGTTTTCTCCTCGATGATTTCCTCAGCGCCTTCCTCCCGGTTCTCTCTTGTTGGCAGGGTGGAGGCGCAGTGCTAACTTGCAGCGGCGGGGACACAGGCTTTACAGCAACAGGCGATTGAGGAGGGGGTTGTTGTTGTTGTTGTTGTTGTTGTTGTTGTTGTTGTTGTTGACTCTCTTCATCGTTTATGTAGAGGCTGTCCGATACCTGGGACGAGATGCCCAGGATGAGGGGGTGTTCTTGGGTCCTGAACCAGGCGGGGGGGCCCTCTGCTCCGCTGGTGGAGGGCGACAGGTTCATCTGACCCCCGTCAAAGCCCTCACTCTGATCCAGGCAGACCTCCATCTTTTCACAGCTGGATTTCACGCTGAAAAGAAGAAGAAAAAACATTGTTAAAACTAGGGATGCTCCGATCGCCAATTTTGAGGCCGATCGCCGATCGCCGGAATCAGTATCTGCCGATACCGATCGCCGATCCGATCGAGTGGGCGGGGCCTAAATGGAAGATTTAAACATCACTTTAAATCTTCCATTTAAAGTGATGTTTAAAACTCAGTTAATGGGGCTCATTCACTGGAGCTTCCACAAACAACAATCAACTTAATTATTACATTCAAATTATGTATATTATTCAAGTTTACATTCACTTTGGATAATACCACGGGAGAAATGAGCAAGCGCTCTCTTCTCCTCTCTCTCCCTCTCTCTCCCTCTCTCTCTCCCCCTCTCTCCCCCCCCTCTCTCCCTCTCCTGACAGCCCGTCAGTATCGTCTCATGCAGCTCGCTGATCCAGTAATGTGTGAGGCCGACAGTGAAGAATAAACATATTTATAACTAGTTTAGCTTGTTCCAGAGGTAGATAAAATAGCTAAGTGTGTTAGGTCTAACTCTTGTGTGTTTCGCTCCGCTCACCGGTTTCTATTCTATTATATTCAAACAGTACAGACAAAGAGAAGAACACCTACCTTAATCCTGAGGCTACAAAAGTGTCCCACGTTCGCTTTCTCCCGGGTTTTCTTTCAGCCTCAGAATCATCCCTTTTTCTTTTCTTGCTCTCCGGTGAATCCTTGACTCGCTTTCTGCATTTTAAAGAATGTTTTTTTAGTTTTTAACCACATGAATTGTAACAGTGAGCTTCAAACAGTAACAAATATAATAACACCTACTTTGACACGATGTGGGACGCTAAGAAAGTGTCCCACGTCCGTTTTCTCCCCGGTTTTATTTCGGCCACACGGATCGTAGTCTCTGGATAAAAGGACAAAGAAACAAAGCAAAGGTCAATCAAAAACTGATTAAATGAATCACCAGATTCTTAGATTCATCCGCCTGTGAAACATCCCCTCTTAGTTTCAGATTTAAGATCTGCACCAGCTGTGTGTAAGTATAAACTATAAACTACTACTAAAATTATTATTTATGAACAGTTGTGTTTTGTCTACTTTTTGATGTCTGGATGATTTCTGTGTTCCTGCTCTTGCTCGATGGTCTGTCTCTCTCCGGGCTGCTGCATTGACAAAAAAACGGGTTTTAATATCTCCAATTATAACTGTAAATATCATATCATATAAAAAATGAATTATTGCGTTAATTATCTATTTAAACAATATTTAGAAATGTTGTGTTAAGATATGCAAACAAGGCATTATATCCTTTCAAATGAGCTAGTTTACATTTTCTTGAACAAAAATCTTTGATTATTAAGCAAAAACAAAACATTGACATATTAAATTCAAAGGTTTAACTAAAGGAATTTGTTAATATCCATTAGTATCACTACATAAATCAGAACACACTGTCTAAAGCCATACAATAAATCACAATTTTTGATCAATAAACTACACAAACCTCTGTAAAAACTTTCTAGAAAATGGCTTTTAAAGATGTGTAAAGTAATAGTAATATGAAGTAAATGAAACACCTCTGTGTGTAATTTGCACGTTTTCTCTCTACTACACTGATAGAAGACATGTAATAGAAGAAATGTCCTAAAATGGACCTGTGTGTGTACATAAAGATCTCCGGTCCTACGACACTTACCTGTCGTCACCGCGGGGTTTTCTCCTCGATGATTTCCTCAGCGCCTTCCTCCCGGTTCTCTCTTGTTGGCAGGGTGGAGGCGCAGTGCTAACTTGCAGCGGCGGGGACACAGGCTTTACAGCAACAGGCGATTGAGGAGGGGGTTGTTGTTGTTGTTGTTGTTGTTGTTGTTGTTGACTCTCTTCATCGTTTATGGAGAGGCTGTCCGATACCTGGGACGAGATGCCCAGGATGAGGGGGTGTTCTTGGGTCCTGAACCAGGCGGGGGGGCCCTCTGCTCCGCTGGTGGAGGGCGACAGGTTCATCTGACCCCCGTCAAAGCCCTCACTCTGATCCAGGCAGACCTCCATCTTTTCACAGCTGGATTTCACGCTGAAAAGAAGAAGAAAAAACATTGTTAAAACTAGGGATGCTCCGATCGCCAATTTTGGGGCCGATCGCCGATCGCCGGAATCAGTATCTGCCGATACCGATCGCCGATCCGATCGAGTGGGCGGGGCCTAAATGGAAGATTTAAACATCACTTTAAATCTTCCATTTAAAGTGATGTTTAAAACTCAGTTAATGGGGCTCATTCACTGGAGCTTCCACAAACAACAATCAACTTAATTATTACATTCAAATTATGTATATTATTCAAGTTTACATTCACTTTGGATAATACCACGGGAGAAATGAGCAAGCGCTCTCTTCTCCTCTCTCTCCCTCTCTCTCTCCCCCTCTCTCCCCCTCTCTCTCCCTCTCCTGACAGCCCGTCAGTATCGTCTCATGCAGCTCGCTGATCCAGTAATGTGTGAGGCCGACAGTGAAGAATAAACATATTTATAACTAGTTTAGCTTGTTCCAGAGGTAGATAAAATAGCTAAGTGTGTTAGGTCTAACTCTTGTGTGTTTCGCTCCGCTCACCGGTTTCTATTCTATTATATTCAAACAGTACAGACAAAGAGAAGAACACCTACCTTAATCCTGAGGCTACAAAAGTGTCCCACGTTCGCTTTCTCCCGGGTTTTCCTTCAGCCTCAGAATCATCCCTTTTCCTTTTCTTGCTCTCCGGTGAATCCTTGACTCGCTTTCTGCATTTAAAGAATGTTTTTTTTAGTTTTTAACCACATGAATTGTAACAGTGAGCTTCAAACAGTAACAAATATAATAACACCTACTTTGACACGATGTGGGACGCTAAGAAAGTGTCCCACGTCCGCTTTCTCCCGCGTTTTATTTCGGCCACACGGATCGTAGTCTCTGGATAAAAGGACAAAGAAACAAAGCAAAGGTCAATCAAAAACTGATTAAATGAATCACCAGATTCTTAGATTCATCCGCCTGTGAAACATCCCCTCTTAGTTTCAGATTTAAGATCTGCACCAGCTGTGTGTAAGTATAAACTATAAACTACTACTAAAATTATTATTTATGAACAGTTGTGTTTTGTCTACTTTTTGATGTCTGGATGATTTCTGTGTTCCTGCTCTTGCTCGATGGTCTGTCTCTCTCCGGGCTGCTGCATTGACAAAAAAACGGGTTTTAATATCTCCAATTATAACTGTAAATATCATATCATATAAAAAATGAATTATTGCGTTAATTATCTATTTAAACAATATTTAGAAATGTTGTGTTAAGATATGCAAACAAGGCATTATATCCTTTCAAATGAGCTAGTTTACATTTTCTTGAACAAAAATCTTTGATTATTAAGCAAAAACAAAACATTGACATATTAAATTCAAAGGTTTAACTAAAGGAATTTGTTAATATCCATTAGTATCACTACATAAATCAGAACACACTGTCTAAAGCCATACAATAAATCACATTTTTGATCAATAAACTACACAAACCTCTGTAAAAACTTTCTAGAAAATGGCTTTTAAAGATGTGTAAAATAATAGTAATATGAAGTAAATGAAACACCTCTGTGTGTAATTTGTACGTTTTCTCTCTACTACACTGATAGAAGACATGTAATAGAAGAAATGTCCTAAAATGGACCTGTGTGTGTACATAAAGATCTCCGGTCCTACAACACTTACCTGTCGTCACCGCGGGGTTTTCTCCTCGATGATTTCCTCAGCGCCTTCCTCCCGGTTCTCTCTTGTTGGCAGGGTGGAGGCGCAGTGCTAACTTGCAGCGGCGGGGACACAGGCTTTACAGCAACAGGCGATTGAGGAGGGGGTTGTTGTTGTTGTTGTTGTTGTTGTTGTTGACTCTCTTCATCGTTTATGGAGAGGCTGTCCGATACCTGGGACGAGATGCCCAGGATGAGGGGGTGTTCTTGGGTCCTGAACCAGGCGGGGGGGCCCTCTGCTCCGCTGGTGGAGGGCGACAGGTTCATCTGACCCCCGTCAAAGCCCTCACTCTGATCCAGGCAGACCTCCATCTTTTCACAGCTGGATTTCACGCTGAAAAGAAGAAGAAAAAACATTGTTAAAACCAACGTTCCGAGTCAGGATGTTACTCCACTTTACAGTACTGATAGTTAGTCGTTTTTGCATGCAGTTATTTCTGAACTATTGCGTCACTTGCACATCTCTCTTGCACTATTTTTATGTTATCTTTACGTCTTCAGTTTGTTGCAGTGTTAAAGAAGCCTTGGATTTAGGATTTTAATTCTCAGAGCTACACTTTTACTATTGTGCAGACGACAATCAAGTCTTTTGAATCGTATCAGAATCAAAAGTAAATAAGATAATGCATTGGACCCAATCAGCGTGATGCGGCCTCTCTTTCTTGTTGCAGATATTCTACAACAGTTGTAATGAGGACTCACTAGAAGCTGTTCTGGTGGTTTTGAGCGAGGCGGTTCAAGGTGATGAAGGGATGCTGAAGAAGATCGCTGGGGGAAATCCTCCGATCGATGTCCAGGTGAAGCATCTTCTTCAGCAGATCCAGGAACACCTTCCGGTCTTCAGTTTCTGCCACGTTGTCTTCGTCCAACAGGTGGCGGGGGGGTTTTAACTGAATCAGAACAAACCAGGAACATTATAGTTAAACCTCTATTCATCTCGGTGGATCATGGAAACAGATTTACGGCAGATGTTCTCATGTTTAACAGCTCATTTTCAAATAGTATTTCCTACCTTTATTATACCATTCAGCGATTTGAATTGTCTGGCACTTGGGTTGGTTTCTCCAGACTGCTGAACGTTTTAAAGATAAATTATATAGGATTAGGTAACCTGTCTCAAAAGGAAATTAAAAACAGTAAGATATTTTAGTTTAAAAGCAACTCAGTGCTGGTACCTTCAATATCCAACGACGTCTCCCGCTCTTCCTTCTATAATGGAAAAACCAATGCGTGTGGACGCCTTTGACCATGAGACGAGACGGAGGATGACCCTGAGTCTGCACTATATGTCGCAGCTGTTGACAAAACACAAACAAAGTCAGTTACACTTACATCAATATTAGGATTTTCAAATAACATAGAAGTGCTTCAGAAAAGTTTACAAAAAGCCAACGTTTTACGCAGTTACAGTATCTCCCCTTTCAAAGAGGCCCTACTATGCTTTCTAGGAGTTTCCCACCGTTTTTTCTGTTGCATTTTATGGTGAAATACACACATTTGCTCTCTTGCACAGAGGTACAGATCGATACGTCTCTGATGTCGGGGCATAAAGTATATTTCTATAACCAGGAAGTCATTAGCTTAATCTAATTTAGGAAACATTTTAAGTAAAAAGTGTTTCTTAGTGAGAGAGCAAGGCTAGCGGTTTGTAGCTGCGGTCAGTCTTTATGCTAAGCTAAGCTACTGGATAATACATTTGAGCGTGGTATTGATCCAACTCCTGGAAAGAAAGTGAAATGAAATGTTTCTTAAAGATATTGTTTAAGCTACCACGACTAATATAAAGTGTTCGCATAATTGTGTGCGTGTGTATCCTGCTTATTATCCCTTCTACATAATAAATTAAAGTTCTGCAGTATTGCTACACCCACCATTTCGTGCTCGGTGTCTCCAGGGTAGAGCACAGCGCCCGCAAACAGCTCCGCGGCGATGCAGCCCAGAGACCACATGTCGATGGCTGACGTTGTGGGGAATCCTAGGATAATCTCCGGGGACCTTAGAAAAGACAAATAAACATATATCGTTTTAGTTTTGAGTCATTTTACAATTTAGTTTGCTATTTAACTTCTTAAGCATTAAAGGTCCCCTATTATACTGTTTTTCATCAATACATCACAGGTCTCAGATATATACAGAACATGTCTCTGATTGGCTGAAACACCAAACAGATCATTGCAGCATCCCACAATCCCCTCTGTTTCAGCCCTGTTTCAAAAGTGCTGATTCTCTGTCTGTTACTTTAGATGAAAATAAGGAGCCCCTCCCCACGCCCCTCTGAGAGAGATTTGGTTACAAAGAACACAATGGTGCTCTAGGAGGAGATTCAGGGGATAAGGTGGGGAGGGGGTTACCTTAGTTGGTGATTGGCTAATGGTTACACAAGACAACACATTGTTATGACATCATAAAGTGGCCAAAATCTGATCAGCTCATTTTCAGACAGGTTTTTATATAAATGGATCAGGACAAAAAGAGAGAGAATCTTTGTTCCTGAAACTTTCAGAATCTCTTTACACAGAGGGGACACATGTTGATGTAGAAAAGAGACATGAACAAGTGGATTTCTTTGCACAATAGGTGACCTTTAAATCTTCTTCCCCCGCTGCTGGTTTCTCACCTGTAATGTCGTGTCTGCATGTAGTAGCCCAGCTCCGACTGAGCGACGTGACGCGCCATGCCGAAGTCGATCACCTTGATTCTCCACGGCTGCTTCCTGTGGTCCAGCAGCATGATGTTCTCCGGCTTCAGGTCCGTGTGCACGACTCCCAGACTCTGGAGCAGCTGCAGCGTTACGGAAACCTGAAATATAAGATCACGAATAAGTCTTTATGCTAAGCTAAGCTAAGCTACTGGATAATAAACACACATTTGAGCGTGGTATTGATCTAACTCCTGGAAAGAAAGTGAGATTAAATGTTTCTTAAAGATATTGTTTAAGCTACCACGACTAATATAAAGTGTTCGCATAATTGTGTGCGTGTGTATATTTTTATCCCTTCTACATAATAAATTAAAGCTTTGCAGTATTGCTACACCCACCATTTCGTATAATCAGTTGCAAAAATGTTGCTTAATTCTTGCAGGCAGGATATTTCTTATCAGTTCTGTGGAAATGTTCAGATGTTCTCTTGTTTTTCTTTATAAATGTGTGTGTGTGGAGCATCTAGCGTACCTGGTACAGGATGGGGCGGATTTCGTCCAGCGCCAGCGAGCGGTGAGGTTTCTGATAGAGGAAGTCAAACAGACTCGTGTCCAGGATCTCAAACTCCAGACAGACGTGTTTCCCGGAGACAAACACATCGTTGAACGTCACAAAGTTAAACCTGTCAGAGTCAAACGCTTTGAGCACTTCCATTATCTCCATCTGGGGAACAAACGATTGCATGTTGAGAAAATACATCTTTACAGGGCAAGATGAAATACAGTTAAAATGATGATGGACGTCCATTTGAAGTATTAATAACATAAGAAGTAGATACATCGTTACGTCTACCTCGAGGGTCATTAGTAAGGTTCTGTATTTATACCTCACCCATTTTATCCATTCTTCTTTAAGTATATGAACTTGATTTCCAATTGTCATGCCCATTTTATATATTGCTTTGACAAGATCCTCCCATTTATAGTTAATTATTGCAACTCTAATGACTAGGAATAAGTGAAAATCTTTATTTATTGTCGTCTAATTGTGTTTTTTAGCAGGAAATGTGGGGTTTTATCTACAGAAAAACCCCAAAAAGCACATTATCTCCAGGATTTTGAAGATTAATTTGTATTTATTTGACTTTTAGTTGTGTTAAAGTATTAAATAATAATCTTCCACATATATTATTCCCAAGAGTAAGATGTATTTTGAATGTTTCTGCTCTTTACTTCCCAGTCGGTTGATGGTATAATGCAGAAAACGAACTTGATGGTTCATTTGGATTATCACAACCAAACCAATTTAGTTGTTTGTACAAAGCCATGAGTCATTATTATGGTTATAACTTATAATATAATAAATCTATTAATAAGTCAAGAAATGGGAATTGGGGAAACCATAGATGTGATCAGAGTTGTTCCCTACCTCAGTCTTTGCCTCTGGTGTTAAGTTCTTTCCCTTCGCGATCTTCACAGCCACCGTCCTGTTGGTGGCCATCTTTAAGCACTTAACGACTTTCCCAAAGGTGCCCTCCCCCAAAAAGGACTGGATCAGGTATTGGGAGGAGGGGGAGGAGAGGACACCCATGGGTTTGCACACTCCCCCTGAAGGAAAGTAGCATGAGGAGGAGGAGGAGGTGGTGGAGGAGGTGTTCGTCTCTGCATCAGGTGACGGAGTTGAGTTGGGGTCTCGGTAAGACTACAGGAGGAAGAAGAAAGAGTGATTAACACATGAAGTCACATTTTGTCTCATCAAAGTCTTTCTGAACTATACAAAACTAAAATATAGCAAAAAGTCAATACAAATGTCGGCTGATTTCACAATTTGGACGATTCAATTCGTGCTTGAGCTATTTTTCTACTAGTTTGAACATCTCAAAATGACATTAAATGACATTTTACTGCTTTTTTGATAAGAATAAACACATTATTTGTTCATTTATAAACCTTAACTAGTATTCAAGATGGATTGGAAGTTGTTAACTCATCTTGTTAGTGAAATATATTAACATATTACAAAAAAACAAGCGCTCTAATGTACAGTCAATGCGAAAAAAGTGGGACTCATTGACAATTCGGATGTTTCTTTTCTTGCTCCTGCTATTTTTTTGTTTGTTTTTAACGTCTTTGTTAACAAAAACAACATTCAAATTACATTTAACTGCTTTTTTTGATAAGACTAAACTGAATTTGATGAATTAAAAAACCTAAAATCAGGTGCAAGATGAAGTAGAAGTTGTTAAATCTTCTTGTTAGTGAAAAAAAGTGTGATACAATGGGATTATAAGAATATATTTTAACATAAAATCGAATTTCTTTGTAAGAAAACTATTATTTTTATGTATTTACTACCAGATTTGATCAACTCACCATGTTGTCACTCGTGTTACTAATCGTGTTTGAAAGTTTTGTTGAGATTAACAAAGTTGAAGTTTCTCCTGGTTGTGTTAACCTGACTGAAGACAGAGTCCAGGTCCAGCCGGAAGCTTCCTTCTCCTGAACATTCCACGGCTTTGTTACGTCACATTCCAAATGGAATCTTAGTTTGGAATGTTCCGGTTGTCATAGCATCGAATAATTCTAAATTAGAACAATGGTGGCTAAAGGTTTTGGAATGTTTATATCGCTGCTAACAAACAATAAAATGACAATTAATAACTATTTGTAATTAATAACTGTGCGACTGTGGCTGCGAGGGGGTGCGTTTGTTTCCACCAGAAGGTTGTGGGTTCGATCCCAGCATTGGCACATTGTGTTTTTATATTTGTATTGTTTTTTTAAAGTGCAGCGCGTTTCTTCTAATGGACATTTTTTTGGTCCGTTGTTACGTGTTTGCCTCTGTCAGCCACCGTACAGGGATTGTAAATGAAGGAACTGTAAATTAAATATACATGCATAATAAGACGTACAAAATATTTAACACTAGTTAAAAAACCTTAGACCTTAGATTTGTATACAATAAGACAGAGATGAGCCTGTGATTGTACACATCTATTCTTAAAGGTTCCATGTCATGCTTTTCCGGTTATTACCCGTCCCCTTGTGTGTTATGAAGGTTTTTCTGCATGTCAACGGTCTGCAGAGTCACAAACCCTCAAAGTACACCCTGTAGCGAGTAAAACTCTAACACAGAAAATACCTGTCTATGCTGCCCCAGAACGCCTCGTTGGAGATTTCTCTTTTTCTTCCTGGGTACAGTGACGTGCCCATACCCAAATGGACCAATCCGTGGAGCCTTTACGTTAAGTCTGCGCAGCCGTTACTTTAAGTCCGTGGATTGGTCCAAATTGACCAATCCACGAACTTCCTCACACACACACACACACACACACTCAATCTTTTCTCAGCTGCAGCTCCGCCGATTTCTCCTCCCTGAGACGGTGGGACGCGGCGAGGCTGTGAGTCGGTGTGTGAGCACACACACAAACTTCCAGCCAGGCTGCGGGTGTGTGTGTGTGTGTTCAGGCTGAGTTTCGCTGTGTCTCGCTGTCTCATAGACGGCCACTGGGCTCATAGCGAGGGGGGGGGGGGCAGGAGCTCCAACAAGCCGTTTAGGACAGAGAGTGAATACACATACTATACAGAGATGCTGTATGAGAAACCAATGCGATTTTGGAAAATTGAACAATATACATCTATTTTAGTATACCTCAACAATGGGATTATGATCAGTAGAAATGGCCATGACATGGGACCTTTAAATATCTGCCACATTCGTGCTGAAACACAAATAATATTATTTTTGATAAGTTATTAATTCATCTCTGAGCCGGAAAAAACAAAGATTTTAGGTGCATTATTGTTGTAAGTGTATTTAAGATCATTTAGTAATTGTCTTTCTAATGCTTTTAGACATAATTGTTGGTCCTTGTCGCTCACTGTACCTCGGATGGAGTGAGACAAAGGACAATGAAAGACAACAGCTCTGAGGAGGAGGAGGAGGAGGGCAAAGAGGAAGGCAGCGTGGGAGGAGGGAGACGTCTTGAGCGGCTCCTTCAAGCTCATGAACTGCTGGCCTACTTTAGCCTTCTCCATTTTTTATGACACACACACACGCACAGTGTTCATAAAGCACATATACACACACACACACACACACACACACACACACACACACACACACACACACACACAGCCATCACAATGCAATGTAGTGAGACTGCAACCTGTAAGTGTGACATGGACACAAACACATGTAACCCTCATAAGCATACAGACTCTGGGAAATGTAATCTATGAAAATGTGCATGAACACACAAACAACCTGCAGTATTGACACATTAGAAGTGTTTTAGGGTCAGCTGTCTGTGCAGGTGTACTCTCTCTCTATATATATATCTATTGGTCAATACGGACATTTCAGAGGTTGTTAATACCCAATAGCACACGGCTGTTAAGCAGAATAGTGCTCATTGCTAAGGAGGATCAAGAGAGAGAAGGAAAGAGGTACAGAGACAGAGCGCTGGACGTCAGAGAAATCACCAGAAGAAGGCAGACAGGAAGCAAACACCAACAGGAACACGGTATTGGCTCTGGCATTATTTAGGACTTGTTAGTGGAAGAGAAACTGTGGACAGACTTGGACAGTTACAGAAAACATCGATCAGTGCTGCCGTTCATTTTAAGTTACGTTGATGTCACAGTTCCAGCCTTGGTACGCAGCGGAGCGGTGGATTGTTTCCTTAGCGGTAGCTCAATAAAATAATTTCGATTAATAATAGGAGTCAAGTCTTTGGTTTATTTAGTATGTGGCCATGCACCGCCTCGCTGCACATTATCCCTTACGTATGTGATGTATATCAATGAAATATTCTATAAGTACTTTGTACATCCATTTACTCTCACTCAGGTGTGTACATTTTGATTACCTTCTACCCAGTTCACGTTTAATCATACTTAACATTTGGGCAGCCAACTGGCCCCTACATTACGCACTACTGACACAAAACAGCGCATGCTCTTTTTGGAGGAATATGATGGAAACCATGACAAAGAAAAAGAGATGCAGCTCCAACAAATCTGGGAAAGTATTTACTCAAGTGTTAAGCTGGTGGAGGGCAATTCCTAGCATGTTTTTTGTGTCACATGCAAGACTGTATTTATACGCTAACGGTTTCAATAGACATTTTAATTTTTTAAGATCATATGGAGATCATATAAAAATCTAAAGTGCCTCTCATCATCATGTCCTACATTGTCCCACACAACCCTACCACCTGGCCTGTTGGCACCTGGTCACCCTAAGTAAGAGTGTCAGGGATGGTAACAGAAAAAAACACTGAGAACGCTTGAGTTGTAAAGTGTAAAGCTCATCAGCAGTGGCAGATTCAGCGCAGATGTTGGAGGCCTGAGGGAGCGGCCATTTTAATTATGAAACATTCTGGGGAAAGAGTGTGTTCGCGCGCGCGCGCGCGCACACACACACACACACACACACACACACACCCACACACACACACACACAACACACACACACCACACACACACCACACACACACACACACACACACACACACACACACACACACACACACACCACACACACACACACACACACACACACACACACACACACACACACACACACACACACACACACACACACACACACACACACACACACACACACACACACACACACACACACACACACACACACACACACACACACACACACACACACACACTATATAGATATGCTCACGTATGAACATATAAAGCCACAACAGGCTGCTTAACAAGTCTTTAAATTGAAGAAGAGGGGAAGAGTTAAGGACTTCAAATGCTGATTGGTATTTTTATTTGTATAAATAGTCCCAGATATATTAAAAAATATATCTTTCCTTTGTTGGTTTATTTACTCTCTACACAAGCAGGGGGGCTGCATGAGGAAGAAGTTAAAAGGATGGATGCAACTGGAGAATATAAGGGATTGACTGAGCAAATACAGCTGAGGGAAATAAAAAATGTAACTGTTGTCTATCGAGAAAACAGAAAGTAGTTCATCTTATGATCTGCAAAAAATTATCGCAAGATAGGTTTTTTTTTAATATAAAATTCATCCAAATAATTAAATGGACATGCACAGTAATAATACAATCTTAACGTGACACAGAAGCAATGTCATGTGACACGTATGAAGTGTTTAAATTAGGTTTAATTAGCTTTTAACACCTCTTAAATGTGATGCATGTTGACATAAGAACTCCATATTTTCAGCCACACGTGATCTGATTGTTTGCCAAATACTCACGTGAGAGTAAATCTCAGCAGACACCTGTCAATCATGTTCCTCTCGCTGTCAGCCTCATTCTTGTCAGGCAAGGAAAAGACAGTCAAAACCTGGAGGAAAATGAAAAACAATATCTAAAAATAGAGAGATCTGACACCGGCATGACTGCACATTGTGAAAAGAGACTCTCAAAGGTCAGGGTTTGTGTCAAGTCAAAATGCCCTTGTGTAAAACACTTGACCCCTACTTCCTCACTCGCTGTCAGACGTGTTTTCAGAAGAAGCATCGGCAAAATGTAAATAGGGGATAGGGGAAAGTCGAGGGCAGCAACAAGAGCTGAGAGGTTTGAAAGTCAGATCTAGGACTCTTTCCAATTTGGAGGAGTTTCCTTTCTGGGACAATAAAGTATATCTGTTGTGTAAGATCAAGTTCTCTCAAAAGAAATTCGCTAACACTTTATATTAAGGTACACAAATTCACCATCAACTAGTTGTTATTTAACATGCATATTAGCAGTATATTGGCTCTTTATTAGTCAGTATTATACACTTATTAATGCTTTATTCTATATGACCATATTCTACAAGTAATAAGCCATTAGTTAAGAGTTCTAATTAGTGCTTATTTATTGTAAGCAAGGAAGTTGTTGTACATGAGTTTTAGTCTTAATATGCTCTGCTCAATATGGGCCTAATAAGGCAGCAGTACCACAAGAATAGTAATTCTCCCATAATAACACTTAACAAATATGATCTATTCTTATGTAACAAGACATGAAACTATAAGTGTTAATTGTGTCTAAATAACTAAAAATGTGGTATTTCTAACTCAGAATTCCCTATTTTAAAGTGAAGTCTTATTCATAACAAATAAGCTAGTAGTTTGACTCTAATATGTTAATTAACAACTAGTTGATGGTGAATAAGTGTACCTTAATATAAAGTGTTACCAAAACATTCAAATAAACCTTTAAGTCAACATGCCTACCTGAACAAACGTGTGCACAAAGTGTGCTTCACAATGAGTCTTCCAGAAGATACTAGCTAGAGTATTAGCAGTAACCATGGTCATTGTTTATGTTCATAAAGATACTTTTTAAGGAGTGATTTTTGAGGGATGCCCCAAGGAACAGATCAGTGTTGCCAACTTGGTGACTTTCCCCAAGTACTTTTCTTAGCAAGTTTTGAAGCTAACACTGCTAGCTACATCAATCGGTTAGCATCATCGGCCTGGGTTTTCTGGTTTGATAATTTAAAAATATGACTTACTCTTGTTAGTTTACCCAATTGTACTTACCCAAGCTTTAAAAGGAAATGTATAATAACCAGTAGTTATATACAGTAATAGTAAGGTGTCTCTAAAAAAAAGGATTAGATAGATAGATAGATAGGTAGGTAGGTAGGTAGGTAGATAGACAGACAGACAGACAGACAGATAGATAGATCGGTAGATAGATCGGTATATAGATCGGTAGATAGATAGATATATAGTACTTTATTGATCCCAATTTGCGAAATGTTTGCGTTGCAGCAGCGTAAGAGAAATTAAGACACAAGAAATAAACAGTCCAAAATATTTCTGAAATAGAAATAAAATAAAAACGGCATCCCTCTCCATGTTAGCATTACTAGAGGAACGCCTGTTGGTCGGCCTTTACTAACGTATTTTATGTTGTAGAACAAAATAAGGAAATCTTGTAAACTTGTGTTAACCGCAGGCCTTATTTCAGGCTTCGAACCAAAAACACAACTTCGAGACGAGAAAACCGGAAGTGGTAACATGCTGACTCATTTCCAGGTTGTAGGACTCATTCCCGCACCATGCACTCTATGGAGAGCTCGGTCCACCTCTTGCCTCTGAGACACTAAACATTTCCCCAGCTCCGCCCCCTCCTCTTCCCATCCCACATAATCACCCTCTGGCTCTTTATCCCTCTCAACATCCTCGTGGTCAATCTGCCGGACTACGACCCCCCCTCCCACCCCCTCACCAGATGACAGCGCTGGTTGAGATTAGGTTTTCAACAGGACTCACATTTTGCACACACAGATGCTAAAAACAACCAAAAACATGTTCTCCCCTCATGACGATGACGTGCCGGGCAAAAAGCCCCTGGTTCAGGGCTTGCTGTAGCAAATTGGATAAAGAAATACAAAAAGTAATCCTATGGCTCCAAAATGAAAAATGCAGCGTCAATCCAACACGGTTCACTCTGTAACCATGGTGATTGTGTATATTATAATGTACTTCTAACATGTAGAAACATAGTTTAACTGTATCACAAGTAGATCAGTTACATTTAATGTACTTTGAATGCACTTTAATACAGGGGTATCTTCTCTTGCACTTGATGTATCGATGCTGCTATTTTGTATTATCTTTTAAAGCATTTCTTTATATAGACATTCCTTAAAATTAAATCACATTGATAAGGAATGATGTGATAAATGTTTGACTTAAAGGTAGGGTATGTAATTCACTTCAGAAACACTTTTTGTTATATTCCATGGAATGCTCTTAACATCCTGATTGCAATGAATAAATTAAATGCTTTGACAATAAATATATACAAATATTTCATCTGTGGAATCTGTGGCGCTGTAAAAAGCACGACCAATCATCTGAGCCGGCTCGGCTAAAATAACTGGATGGCCTACCTGCCTGTCAGCCTTCCATCTGTGCACAAACTTATCTCGTGCCCTCATTGGTCATGTGCGCTTTCGTGTGTGTTGGAGGAGGGGCTCTGTAAGGAAGTCTGAAGGAAGGGGCAGATTTTTTCCGGTTGTGTATTTTCAAATTCTAGCGCACTCGAGCTGGTTTCTCCATTCTTACCTACCCTACCTTTAAAGCTTAAAAATCTAATAAAAAAAATATATTCCCTGATTTCCTACAAGTCATTTTGATTGATCTAATACTAATTTGTATGTTTAACTTAATTAACATTTATTGAATTATACATATAAAAAAAATAACCTGAAAAGAAAAAGGTATTCTCGTTTAACCACAAACGATCAAAGAGGGATACATAAAAAAAGACTTTTACAAATAAAAATGAGACACACCCAGCCTAGAAAGCCTGTGATGTCACTGGTTCACACACACAGCATTTCACACACTGACGCTGTGCAGATGTTATGTCGCGGCGTCTCTAATCCCAACACAAAGGCAGGAGAGACACGAGCAGATAATCCAGATCCTCCCGGAGCTGCAGTCTGACAGGAAACAAACAACAAAAGCAGAACACACAGAAACAACCTTCATCTCCAGATTACCGTTTTCACCATTTACTCGATCCATCTGTGTTTTTACGGCACTATAATACTCAAACACGATGTTTCCTTTTTCTATTTTAAGAGTTGAATAAATATAGTTTGAGTTAATCCTGCTCTCATAATCGAGACCAGCGGTGAAATAAGTGCACAGATCATTTGTTTACGTTACAGCACCAGCAAAACATGTAGAAATACTATTACAAGTCCTTCATTGATTGCATGTATATTTTAAAAAGGGGCCTATTATGCTTTTTGGGGTTTTCCCTTTGCTGTTTACGTTTGTGTGCATGTTAATGGTCTGCAAAGGCTAAAATCTCTAAGCAGTTGACCAATCACAACAGAGCCGGCCAGCTAACCAATCAGAGCAGACTGGGCTCTGGTTTCAGACAGAGGGTGAAAAGAGGTGCTGCAGCACAGGCAGTATGAGAAAAATAAAGAGCTTTCTGAACATTAAAGCATGGAGACAGTAGAGGCACGAAATAGAATACAAATATGAACCTGAAAATAGGGACCCTTTAAAGTCAGCTTTAAATATTGAAAGAGTGTGCAAAACCTTTTTCCATTTGGATTTGGGCACACAAGCTGTTTGTAAAAGCTTATATTGCACCCTTTTATGTTTGTGTTAATGTCCCACCGAGTTGTTAATGCAGGTTTTCTTTAGCAGCATGAGCCAATTTATGTGCTCAAATGTAATGCAGTGGCTCGAAGTCACACTGTGCCGGTTAAGCTTCTGACCACAGTGTGAACCAACACATGTTTCCTTAACCTGGATCAGCCTTTAAAACGGGGTTCTCACCAATGACTTTTCCATGACCTTTACCTGATTTTCCATGACCAAAAAAATTACTCTTCTCAGCGGTACCACTGAAAATTGTTTATTTTAACATGGAACAGGAAAATAAGGTCTGCATATGAAACATGTTGTGCCTATCTAAAAACAAATCAAATGGTAGGCTTACTAGCTTCTACACGCTAAAGCAACTCAAATCTCTCACCAGCAAAACACCTCGACAGTTAAATGCCATTTTACGCTTCATTACTATACGATACAGTATTTATTATCATTATAGTATTACTATTTCGGCGATTAGATAAAATATAAATTATATTTGATGCAACTTTAGTTATATTTCCATGACTTTTCCAAAACTTTGGGAAAAATATTGTTTTCCATAACTTTCCCAGGGCCTGGAATTTGCATTTTGAATTTCCAGGTTTTTAATGACCGTACGAATCCTTTTAAAAACAAAATACAAGCTTCCACTTCTCCCTCGTAGGAAAGGGTAAGCGTGTGGGATTCAGGCCGTCTTATGGAAGGGAAATGTATTAAAAAGAAAGAAATCGGGACATCCATCTCATACAAAACACAGTTTATTCAGTGTCTAGGTCCAAGTACCAACAGACCCCATACAAAAGAAAAAAAAACAACATATGCTACAAACTTCCAAAGAACAAAGATAACTTCCATCTACACAAAACTTTCTCCGTTAAAAATACATTACCATTAACACAAGAGTATCGATTAAGGATAATATATGTTGGGGGTGGTGGGGGGGGGGGGATTTCCGTCATATTTAAGTGACATTACATAACAAGCCTGGATAAGATGCTGAATGGGAAAGGAGTCGAATGAGAGTGTGTCTTAATCCTCCAGCAGACAAGAAAGAGGGCAACAGTCAGTGATGCAGCAGTCATGTGGGCAGGGAAGGTACAAAAAGAAAGGAGAGGTAGCGAAGGGATGCGCAGAGAGGTAGCAGAGAGCGAGAGGAAGATTTCTAGAAGAGGTAGCTAGCGGACAAACGAGGAAGAGGTAGCAGAGATGCTAACGGTGCTAGCGAAGAAGGGAGAGGAGTGGTTTTAGTCACAACTTCTAATCAAACAACCTTGTTGGAGATTATTATCAACCTGCAGACCTCACACGTCTGTTTTATTAAAAAATTATTATCCGTCTATTGGTAGAAGAATATCCCACCGCATGTTCCTTTAAAAGCCGTTCTTGATCTTTGGATTGCTCAACAGTCGTCATGGAATTGTGATTGTTCAATTTTGAGCATTTTAAGGATTTCCATGATCCTTGGGCATCTGCAGAGGAATATGACCAAAGCTGCAGATCAGCTACTTATTGATGTTCATGGTTACCGAGTCCATCTGCTGTTTGTACATTAACTTTCAGATTGAATTTTTAACCCAAAATTGACAAAAAGTAGATAAATAATGGGAATTCAAACATTGAAAATACTAGAACTGCTGAGGAATATTCTGTAATACAATTAAGATTAGTACTATTGGATCTTGTAGTGAGAATATACCAAATATCTGCTTGTCATGGTATTACATCTCTTGACAAAGAGAATATGGCAGATTATTTTCTCTACATTTCAGGCAATAAAAAGTCAGAAATGATGCTGATTTCTACAAATGTCTATTTTTGTCAGGACAAACAGTCCGAAACTAAAATATTTTTTGTCCAACAACATTTTAGGACCAAGAAACTCTGAAAATATTCTCATTTGAAAACTGTAAACAGAGAAGATTTGTTATTTTTTGCTTGAAAAATCTCAAAATGTACCAGACTAATTCAGTTCTGTCGCTCGACTACTCGATTAAAGCTCCTTAAATAACCATTTGGTGGTTGTCCTCGTTGTTTATGCACTTTTTGCATTTACTTAACCCTCATCAGTAACAGAATTTAAAACTAAGGCGTGGAATCATGATTGCTTACGATGATACACAGGAATGAGGATATTGCTTCCTGTTGCTCGTGGCTAAAAAGCAAACATGGCTGTGCATTGAAGTGTGTGTGAGAGAGAGGTGGGGTTAGCGAGGTAGGCAGCACTAGGCGTGTGAGCAGAAGAGGAAGGAGAGGAGGGGGTTAATCGCTACAGTATCAGCACCTAAGAAACATCTAGAAGCCCAACGCGCTGTTTCAGTCGAGCCGCATCACACTACCTCTCTTTATAAGTGTGTTTTAATGCATGTGTGTGTGTGTGTGTGTGATGGTCCAGTGCTTTGTGGCAGGGTCAGGCCGAGTCGGTGTGTGTGTGTAGCCTCCAGTGTGAGCCTCAGCTTAGCTTACATTTCTGTGTGTGTTTGTGTGGCAGAAGGATAAATACAGTTTTTCTCTGTCTTCCCTATTATGGCGTCTCGGTTTGTGTCTTTTGATTTTAATGTTTTTTTATATTATCTTCAACAAATCCGCAGCCATAAATAGATTCTTCCTTTGTTATAGATTAGCATTATCATAAATAGTTATGAGGCTTTGTGTTCAGAGCCAAACTCAGACAGAAATCAGAGATGGTTTTGGTTTGGAAAATAAGATGTAGTATGCAGCCAATCCTTTCCTATTTCAATTCAGACAGGAGACACTTTTGTTTGTCGAAGATTATACAAACAATGTAATCATATTCAGCCTGCACCCAGTTGGGACAAATATGTCCAGTAGCCATATTTGTTTGGGTCAAGGAACAGCGATGTACCTTTTAAAACAGATATAAAAAAAGACAACTTTATTTTAGATATGACTTTTTGTGGCGAAAGAGACTTAAAAATGTATTTTGCTCTGCCATGAAACACTTGAACACACATTCACAGACACACATAGAACTTCAGTGTATCACTAAAAGAGGGGCAAGAGGTAGATACTCGACAAGACCAGAGCAGGCTGGGTCACCTGTGTGTGTGTGTGTGTTTTATTTATATTCATTTATATCTTTATGTGCTGCTAAGCCTCCTGCCTGTGTGTGTTACAGCTCTGAGAGCACACACACACACACACCCCTGCATGTCTCTCTCTAGCTCCCCCTAGTGTTCAGCTTGTAAAAAGAGGCACCAGACACGAAGAAGTGTGTGTGTTTAGAAACAGGAGGGGGTTACAGTGTGATTTAAACATTAAAAAGGAAAGGAAAAAATGAAATAGACACTTTTTCTGTACACACTCATTCTCTCCAGTCTTCATCCGAGCAGAAAACAGTGTTTATTACTAGACTACCCTTGCCACTGTGCCCTGAGAGGAACTCTGGGTGGGTGTGTGTGTGTGAATATAGGGTTACCCTTGCCACTGAACCCTGAGTGTGTGTGTGTGCGTCCTGTAATCAAATGTATTGTCGCTTTGAGGGAAATATGGCGAGCCAGTAGCAAAGGCCATCAAAAAGATGTTACGAGATAGTTTTATGTGTGTGTGTGTGTATGCGTGTGTGTGTGTAGGTCTTAGTTGTCAGCCACCCGTCCGCTGGTGGGCGCTGGAGGACCCACAGGCACCACAGGGACCGCCTCAGGCTGTGCAGGGGGGGGGCCGGGGTCTGGAAAACAGAAAATATGTAGTTTTTAGATCAGGAGAGGAAGAAACTATTTATAAAAAGGTGAAGGAAAATCCAAGATGGTTTCCAAACTGAGGGCAGACCGGGCGGCAGGTCTAAATCTGTGGGTGGGCTTTTGATCTCTGACGGCGGGCCCAAGGTAATAATAATAATAAGTGATGCGGGAATATTAGGTTATTGATCTTGCTGATTAATTCCAAGCAAATCTCCCTATCTATATGTAATAATTGTAATTTTGACACTCATTTACATGCAAAGAACATGTCAATCATTCAAAACCTCAACGTAAACACAAACAAGCTTGTTTATTTTGAATAGTTAAAGGTCACCTATCATGCTATTTTTAGGCAATAGCATAGGTCTCAGATATAAATATATAAAAAACATGTCTATGAAGTGTTTTGCTCCAAATACCAAACAGATCACCCATTCTAGCCATGCCTCATATCCCTCTATTTCACTTCCTGTTTCAAAAGTGCTGGTTTTGGGTATAAAGCTATTAAAAAAATAAATGATAAATAAAAAAGGAGGGGGCTGAGCTCATGCGGGACCCGGCAGCTACTGTCTAAACTAAATACTGCGGTGATGAAACGCCATATCATGGATTATCAAGGATTATTTCTGAAACAGTATGGAGCTCAAAGGCTTTCTCTCTTGGCGGTTATACCACAAGGTGAGTTCCTTTTTATTTCCTGCTTCTTCACACACATGCTGTCCAGTACAGGTTAGCTCTGAGTGTTAGCGATGCTAATGTAAACACAGACCATATTACGTCCAAAACAGTCGGGCATTGTTTCTGATAGCAACGTTTCTGATAGGGCCGTGGGTCCACATTTCAGATATTACGTCATATCGGACGCAAATCTGGATCAGCTCCGTTGTACCCCCGTTTTTAGAGATTTGGGTACGGAGGAAAAGAGAGAGGGTTTTATTTTCTGACGCTGCGTGAATACACACGGGGACACATATTTATGTATAAAAGACATCAAAAAGTGCATTTTGCATGATAGGTCCCCCGGCTGGCCGGGTCCCATCGGTTTTTGATTAAAAAAACAAAAGTGAAATGTTGGCCTGACCAGATTTACTTTAAATGTTCAATAAAGTCTGAAGAATAAATTATGTCGAGCAGTTAAACAACATTTCCCAATTTATATTCCTGGATAGCCAGAAAGTAAAGGTTATTCAGCTGTTTTATATTCCAGGGTTTCCCACACATAGACTTTACTTGGGCGGGCTGCCCAGGTATATTAACGGCCGCCAAAGTATATTTCGCGAGCCATTTCATTTTTTTTTTTTTTTTTTTTAATCCGTCCGCGAGCACAACGCCATCTGCGATCAATGTTCGCTCTGCTATCGCGTGAAGGGTCTGCTAACAAGAAGCGTTTTCTATACTTATTTGAACATGTATTTATTTTTCAAAATGATAATTTCTTTTTTGTTTTGTAAAAATCTTTTCCCAGTTTTTTTTTTTTTTATAGGATATGTATATTTCGGTTAACCGTTTTTTTGGGGGTCGAATATTCGAATATACATTTGCTTTCAAATTCCCATCCCTAATGAAAGAGGGGGATTTGCACTCACACATGCCGTTGGGAGCTCCAGGGTGGCGTGGGGGCATCATGGGAGGCATGCCGCCGGGGGGGGGGGCCGGCAGAGGGCGGGCCGGGCATCATACGACCCGGGATCGGCTGGCCGGGTCCCATCGGTCCTGAACATATAGAGGTGACGATTCAGACATGTGGAGAAATTGTGGAGAGGTTCCTTTTTTTAAGTCCCCTTTAGGCAGAGGTGAGAAACAACAAAGGGTTTCGTTGTTGGGTTTCTTTACTGGTCACAAATAAATCTTCTTTCTGTTTTAATGCAAGTATTTTAGAGTGAGTGATAGAGGGGAGAATCCAGAGTGCTCCGATTGCTAATTTTCCGGCCCGTGACTTCATTTTATGTGGCCCCGCAAGAGCTTGCAAAGAATATAATATGTTTATTATACGGTTACAGAAGCACGTTGCCCATAAACTACATGTCCCACAATGCATCTCAAATTTGCCTTTTTCTCAGAATCTGACGTTTTTTTCAAAATATAACTTTTCTTTTTTTGTTTTGACTTTTTAAATCATTTTGTGTCATTCTCACTGAAGAGACTTGCAATTATTTGCCCTAGACTTCTGCTTTCAGACGTAATTAATTATGAAGTTATACCCTATCCGATAATAATCCAATGCAGAGGCAGTAATGTAATATAATCAGGGGTGCACATAACAGGTACGCATGCGCGGCAACAATCTGAAATGCGTACCGTCACTTGTGTCACAAAGCGCATTTGCTTACCGACGTACTTGTGAAGCTTTTCCAGAAGGCGGTTAGATCACCGGACGACAGAGTCGGTCTCCGTGTGCACAGACAGGGCAGCTGTTAACGTCGGTCTGTACAGCAGCCCTGCACTAAAACAGCTGATCACAACGTTCAGACGCTCTGTGGTCACGAAGCTCTGTACTCCACTACCACCACCACCCCCGTTGACATTCGCGAAGCTCTGTACTCCACTAACACCTTAATTGTTGTCAACCTACTTGGAAATAAACCTGTTTCTGATTCTGATAAAACTCTCTAAAAGCAGGAACAGTGGCCCCCTGCTCCGTCTGTCTCTCACCTGTCTGTCCCGGGTGGTGGGGGCCCATTTGGTGGTGTCCCATGGAGGGGTAGCCGGAGTGCATGACAGCCCCAGGAGGAGCCACTCCATGGTGGGTCATTGGTGACCCGTGGTGAGGAAGGGGCCCTCCGGGGTGCATGCCTGATGGAGGGGGTCCAGATCCAGGAGCCTGCCCCTGCCCTTGAGCCTGGGCAGCAGCAGCAGCAGCCGCGGACGCCTGCTGCTCCATCTGCTGCCTCGCCTTCATCTCGGCGTATTTGAGCTGCTCCATGTGGAAGGCCTGGCGCTCGGTGAGCAGCTGCTGTCGCTGGAGCTCCAACTGTGAGGAGAGAGAGGAGGAAACGTCAAGAAAGATGACTCTTACCAACACCAAGAATAACATTCTGCTCTCTAACATTTGCTGGGGAGTTAAGTAAAGTGTATTTATGTAGCCCAAATTCACAAATTACATATTTGCCTCAAGGGGCTTTACCATCTGTAGAGTACAACACCATCTGTGCTTGGACCCTCGACTCAGATTAGGAATAACAACATTTAAGTAAGTAAAACATTGATGAAAACCTCAGCAAAAGAAACTGAGGAGGGGTCAGATGGATAGACATGTAATAGATGTCATGTGCACAGAATAAGCAATATAATAAATGTACAGCATTGATAAAGAACGCAGTTAAAGATACATGTTAAAGATGTCTAGAGGGGAATGGGTGTTGACCCTACAGAGTCCATGAGAGGATCACTGGGTCTTAGGGGTGTAACGGCTTACATATTCGTACCGAAGATATTCGGTATGGGCCTTTCGGTTCGGTACCGAAGTGTACCGAACGAATATAACGTTTAGCGTAAAAAATTGAGAACGTGAAAAAGTTTTTTGGAAGTAATCTCAGGTGCGTTCAAATTTAGTCAGTAGTTTGAGGAACTGTCGAAATGGCGAACGCAGATAAAGTTGAGCTCGAAAATCCTCCAGCATCATTGAAGTCTCCGGTTTGGGAACATTTTGGTTTCACAGTTACGTGGACAAGGATGACGGACAAAGACAGGTGGACCGAACCAAAGCTGTTTGTCGGCATTGTTCAACTTAAATTGGTTACGCGGCTGGAAATACATCAAACTTGCACACTCATTTTGAAAAGGCATCACCCGAACGTGAATATCACCGGTACCAAAAGAAAAATGACTGAAGTGCAAACCCAACTCCCACTAGCATTTAAGCCTCCACCACTCGCAAAAAGTTCAGACCGAGCCAAAGCTATTACAAACGCCAAATATCCTTATGTTGCCATGTTAGCAAAGCGCTACCTGGCTGTATCTGCTACCTCTGTCCCTAGCGAGAGGGTGTTCTCCACAGCAGGAGACATTGTTAGTGCCAGCATATCTGCCCTTTCGGCAAGCAATGTGGACAAGTTAACAAAAATATTTAGTGATAATTTTTTCAGCTCTACCGAAAACGTACCGAACCGTGACCTAAAAACCGAGGTACGTACCGGACCTAAATGTTTGTGAACCGTTACACCCCTACTGGGTTTCCTTAGCCAACTAAAGCAGCCTTTTTTGCATTTTAATAGTCTGCAAAGGCTAAAACCCCAAAGCTAGAAAGTCTGAAAGGTTTCCCTGACCTTCTGTCATCTTCAATAATCTTAGAAATATAAAAACAAAAGTGTTGGCATGGCTAGATTCTAGCAGTCAGATTCTCTAAATTATTGAATAAAGATCCTTTTTTTCCGGTTATATAAAGCTCAACGACAGTATCCTGCACATTTGCACACTTCAGTGGCGTCGGAGGAACTGGTGCATGTGAAGACTCAGTGTAACACCGTCCTGTGTCCTTTTTCTGTTCCGTTCTGATCCCGTGTTTTACAGCATGGCAGCAGCAGAGGTTTGATTTATCTCCAGTCTTTGGAAAGCTTATGTAAACCAGAGTCCTTTTCATGCACTATTTACAGCTGTGAAACTGGGCTGCACTCCCAATGCCTCCTCCACGATGAAAACACAGTTTTACACTCTCACTGGCGTCTCCAGGGAGTGTCCACTGGCAGGACGGACACACACACACACAGCTGAGGGCTATTTATTCGCGCTGAAGAGGTAGGCAACAGTTTCAGTTGCCTGTCTATAAACAGTAGCTGTGCTCTGGAAAATGTTTGTTCTCGATTCACATCCTTCACAAAAGAAGTGATTCGGTGTCTCCTCTTGAATTACTGAGGAAGATTTAGACTCATTTAAAAGCCACTTGTTCAGTAGCCAACATTTACCAATGAACTCCGAATGTTTACCTTCTACTTGCAACTGGGTGACAGAAGGTCGGTTTTGGATAGTAACAGAAATCTGTGGTTTAATGAACCCGTTAAGCCCTGAGCCTGAAGCTCTCAAAGCAACTATATATGAACTCCGTTATTGACATAAATATGAAGATGGATTATCAGTAATCATTTCAGACACATTGGATTAACCTTCAGCAGCGGTTTTATCATTTTAATGCAATTGAACACAACTTTTGATCAAAACAACAGCTAAGGGTAAGACAATGTCCCGTTTTTGCTCCGTAAAGCTCCGTGTTGTGATGTCTGTGTTTGTTTCCCCTGTCGCGAGTTCTGATCGCTCAGTGATGATACTTATACCCCTCGAATCTGTGGAATCTCAGCTTGCTAATCGATATCTTGTTTGTGCAGATCTGATATGTAATAAGGGTATTTATACCTAGAGTTCTGTGCTGAGTGCGTTAGCATTTTTTCGCTCAGGGCTAATTTAGACGCTTCTTGTGAGACTTGTGTTTTGCTTCGGTAAGAATTGTTCGTATCGTCAGTTAGCTGAGTTTCTTCCCGTTAAGTGAGTATGACACATTAATAGGTTTTTAAATGTTAAGGGGGCCTCCGGGTTCAACAGGTTAAAAGGGGACATATGATGCTAATTTTCAGAGGGATGTTAGACTTTGCAGACCATTTACATACACAGAAACCTAGAACAGGATATTTCAGGATAGAGATCACCCCAAAAAGCATAATAGAGCCTCTTTAAGGTTAAATGTCGTTGGATTAAGCCCCAACATATATATTTACACTTTAGTGAGAGGTGCTACGTGAGCCTGCTGCCTCTTTAACAGATCTCCTTCATTATTAATAACCGTAGCTGAGAGCACTAACTAAGTGTGTAGTGGTGAAATGTTAATGCTTGAACAGCAGCACAGGGTCAAAGTTGGCCGATATCATTTAATCTCCAATTCAACACTTGTTATATGTAAACTGCTTTTTTTCAAACTCACAGCCTCTTTCTCGCGGTCCATGATGGTCTCCAGCTCCTCGAAGTGCCTCAGCTTGATCTCCAGCTTCTTCATCTGCGTCTCCACCAGCAGAGCCACCAGGGACTTGATCTTCCTCTCCTCCACCGCCGCCAAGTGCTGTGAGGAAGAACACGAACCATCAGGATCTGATTCATTCCCTAAACAATTTGCACATATGGTACTCACACTGCCTCGACATTTAAAAGTTATAAAACAACAACTTTGCACACTTGCAGCTGTAAGTAAACCATTTTCCAATTTGGATCTATAAAGTAGGGCTGTGCGATTATGGCAAAAATCATAATCACGATTATTTTGGTCAATAATTGATATCACGATTATTAAATACGATTATTCATTGACTTTGAAAACATCCATTTATTGAACTTTTAAATACACATAATAATTTGAACAGTATCTTTTTAACTGTTGATTTCCCCGAGCGTATAATTCAACTGAAAAACCAATACAAAAATAAATGATACATTTATATCTACATTTAAATAAATAATATCAAAATAATAAATACCAATAAACAAGATCAACAAATATTTTGGAGCGCACTTCAACAAGCTACTAAACATATATAAATATGATAAATACAAATAAATTAGATCAAATATGTTGCAGTGCACTGTCACAACCTAGCAAAGCAAAAATAATCGTTTTTTTCGATTATGTTGTTTTCGTAATTGTGGCAGGCCAAAATCGTAATTGCAATTAAAATACGATTAATTGCACAGCCCTACTATAAAGTATATCTAAATCCAATCTAATGTTAAATACTGTGATTACTCTTACATTTTTTTATATTATATAATGAAGTTCATCTCAGGAAATTAAATGTACTACGTTGAAAGACTTTTTACACATTTCCCACATCCTGTGCAATTATTCCTGGAAACAAACAGAAATTCTAATATATACTAAGAAAACCGTAGTGCATTAAAAAGGAGGCCAACACAATTATGAGAACAGCATTTCCTCACTCTGCAGTTATTTTTGAAGAATTTAAATAAATATACTCTGTTTAAACGCTCTCTAAAAAACCAAAAACACCACTATTTACAGATTGCCCTTAACAAAATATATGATTCCAACATAAAATAAGATACATTTTTCAGCGCACTCAAAAAGGACAAAACAATATAAAAGCAGAATGTCTACTCATGAAGAAAAGAGTGAAAGTTGTTGCTTCACGTCTTCTGCATTCCTGTCTATTGTGGCCATAAGACACAAACTCAACAGGATCCAACCAATGACTTTCAGCAACGTTTTCAACATGACAACAAGGTGAACTCTGGGTAAATCAGATGTGTGTTTGCACTCCTGTAATCTCACCTTGGCCTTGGTGGCAGCAGATGCCAGAGCAGCGGCGGCCGCGGTGGCGATGTTCCCCTCTCCGATGTCGTGCTCCAGTTTCTTCCTCTTCTCCTCTACCTCGTCAGTAACTGCCTTCTCCTCCTTCTCCTTCTCCGGCTCCGAGGACGACGTCTCCATGGACTCCTCTTTGTCTTTGTCTGACAGGGAGGGAGACCGAGACTTAACGACTACTTTAAATTAAACAAGAAAAACCTTCTGCACTCCGGACCGGGCTCTCGTATATTACAAGTAGGAGTTGATTAGTTATCTTAATTGACACATTGAAACAAAATACTTTAGTCAAATCTATTAATTGTTAAAGAAATGTGTTCAAAACTATATATCTTTAGGTTGGACTGTTGGTCGAACATATTAAAGTATGTAACAGCATTACTGACAATTTCTTTTAACAATGTATTGATAACTGGACAAGATAGTCGCTTGAAACCATGTAATCTTCATTATGAATCGATATTTAAATGAATAGTTATTTGCTGACTTATTTACGAGATCATGGAGGGGTGCAGGAATGAGTCCCGAAACCTAGAAATGAGTCAGCATTCTAGCAGTTTCGGTTCCCAAAGAATGTTTGTGGCTAATACAGGTTTAGTTCTACGGGACACGAAATGTCAGGGTGTTCTGTCAGGGAAGTAATGATAACTGCTAGGTCAGCACACAAAAACACATCCTCCAACATACAACGATGTACTAGAAGCTTGTGGATTTATTTGAGCATTTGATCCTGATTCTCAGTGTTACCTGCTGGAGCCGCCTTGGCATCCCCTCCCTCTTCACTCTCCTCCTCGCGCTCCGACGACTCGGACCCCTCCTTCTTCACCTTGTCCGCGGCATCGGTCTTGTCGCTCTTCTCCGCAGACTCGCTGGGCTTCTCCGCCTCGTCCTTCAACTCCGCCTGAAGGAGGAGGAAACAGAGGATAAGTGGCCGTGTCAATGCCACAGGTGAAAGAAAATAGACTATGTTTAAAAGCTTAAAAATGTGTTTGAGAAAAGATAAAGAGAGATTTTGTGTTGCATGAAAGCTGCATAAATGAGAAAATGAAACACCTTTGGGTTGCAAAAGCACCACTAAACCCACTGAAAATATATAAAATGGTCTTAGATACGTGACAAATGGCCTATATAAACAGGGGTGCACATAACTTTCTTAGTGAGTTACTCAGATGAGTACCAGGAGACAGTGTTTGGGGGGGGGGGGTGCTAAACACACCAACGTTAACAGCAGCCGACTGTCGTCCAGTGATCTAAGCGCCTTCTGGAAAAGCTTCACTTAGTGACACAAGTGACGTTACGCATGTCAGATGTTTGCCGCGCATGCGTACTAGTTATGTGCACCCCTGTATATAAAGTAATTGATAGTGACTTAACAACATGAAATAATGAAGTAATAGTTGGTAAATGTGGTTCTAATCAGGTGGCATGGAAATATCGTGATCCTTTCCACTTTTTGAACGACAAACGCTGTGATTTAGAAAGAGTCGGACACTGGTTAATGGATGCTAATGAGGAAGCTATTAACAGACCGATCTGACAAGCTGGGACAATGTGATCGTAGAAAAAACTAATGTTTATCAGATTGGCCTTTCAGGACCAAGTAAAGTCGAATAAAAAAACTGTACTTTTAGAAACAGAGTAGGAGAAAGGTTTAAAAATGAAAATGCATCAGGAAGTTGTTCAGCCTTTCTCTTTGGGAAAGGAAACTTTATATTTTGGGACAGTTTTAAAAGATTTATGCATTTGATACGACTGCCACGGACAGGGTAGAAAGTGCTCAGTGACAGACGAATGAAAATGTTTGTCTTCATTTTGACAATAAGAAATGGTCTATATACTGAATGCTTTGAGTACTTATTAGCAGAGGTTACCGTCATGTGGTTCACTCGCTAATGCAAAGCAAAACTGATTGTCTTTGACATTTAGTGCACATGTAAAAACACAAACAAAGCTTACCTTATCGGCCTGCTGGGAGTCTGTGTCTGCGTCCATCTTCTCTGCCTCTGGGGTTTCTGCAAGAGTAGAGGAGACTTGAGAAACATGTCAGACTGAAACTGATCAAAAAAGGGTCCAGATTTTTTTTTTTGTAGCTTATAATGCTGCTGCTTAAAACCAAGGGCAAGGGCAAGGATCAGATTGCGTTAACACATGCATATTCAGACAAAGAAATTACAGATTAATAAAAAAAATTATACGACTAACAGAATGGGGCAGCAGTGCTTTATCATCCAGTTTGATTTTAAATGCATTTATAGATTTATAGAGGGTAAGACCAGCAAAGAAATCGTGTTGAAGTGAATAAACTTTTTTGAGAGCAGGAAAGGTTGTGAAGCATTTGCGCGCACACACACAGACACACACACATGAATACATGTGTACAGTTGAGTGTTAAACTATGTCACGGGTGCACTTGAGCGTGTGTTAAGTGTTTGAATATTGATTTCTGGGATGTGTGTGTCGGTCAGATGCTTCAGGCCACTCTACACATTTAAGCTATTGATTGTAACTGTGGCTCAGGAGGGCTTTAATTCAGGTTGAGCAAATGATTGGTGTGTGTGAGAGAATATGTGTGTGTGTGGAGGAGAAGGGAGAGGAGGAAAAGATCAAAAGTGAAAGAGAGGGTGAGTGAAATAATTCAAGAAAGCACAGAGAGAGAGAGAGAGAGAGAGAGAGACGGAGAGCAGGATTGAGAGTGGAGATGAGAGAGAGAGCGAAGAGAGACGAGAGAGAGATGAAGAGAGGGAAGAGAGAGAGTGAGAAGAGATCGAACGAGAGAGATGAGAGGAGATGATAGAGGATGAGATGAGAGAGAGAGAGAGAGATAAGCACATGGTAGGGTGTGATGACCCAGTTTTCCCCCTCCCCCACCTCTGCCGCTGTTGTTTTAATCCACTGGTGCGAAAACACACACCAATGTTAGTGTGTCGCTAAGCCCCTGCTGGTGAAAACTGACATGTGTATCGCCCACAAATGTCAAATCATCTTCCATCATATTTAGGAGGATAAAAGACGGTCTATTCTATTCCAAGATGGAGGAAACAAACAAGGATGGGAGGATAAAGAGATGCTTTCCACTCCTCGAACATGCACACGCACTAACACTTCTACTGCTACTATCTGCTGCCCTCCTGTGGCTACATACGTTACAACACATAAATAGTAATACATTTCATGTGTATAAAACTAAATGATACGTTTCAAGACTTGGAAAGCTTTACACTTATGTACCATTTTGAGGTACCACTCTACTGCTGTTTGGAGGAAATATTGTACTTTCTCCTGGACTACATTTATCAGACAGCTTTAGTTACTTCTCAGATTATGAACTAAAATATATATCTAAGAAAATAAACTGAAAAAACAAATGGGCCATTACGCTTAACGAGTACTTTTACTTTTGGTACTTTAAGTATATTTTGATGCCAAAACCTTTCGTACGATTTTGATTGCATGACTTTCACTTTTAGCAGATTATTTTTACAATTAAATAATAATAATAATAATAATAGATTCAATTTGTATAGCGCCTTTCAAGGGACCCAAGGGCGCTTAACATGGTGAACAAACAAACGGGCAAAGTAATAAGGTACTTCTTTAACCTTTGACTACAGGCGACAAATATTTATACATATTTCATTTAGTTTAAAAAAACAAACTCGTGCTTCTAGTTTTCCACACTCGTCAGGTTCTGCTCACCGGACTTCTCCGGTTCCTCGGGGGCGGTGCCGGCGATGCCGCTGCTCTCCAGGCCGAAGGCAGGGGTCCACCTTCCCGGTGTTGCGGGCCGCCTCCTGCACCTTCTTCACGTGAGCCTCCACCAGCTCAGCCGGGACCTCCTCACGCACACGAGAGAACTCCTCTGCACACAGAGAGCATGTTTATTAAGTCAAACTTCAAAACGGACTTTAATCGTCTATTTTTTTACTGCAGTGAGAGTTGCCTAAGGTATTTCGTTGTACTTTGTATAATGACAAGATATATTCTATTCTAATATTGATATGGGTATGAGAACTGGACCATTAATTGTAATCACAATATGGATTAGTGCAATATCCAATTCACAGTACAGCGCAATGTTTGATAAAGGCAAAATATCTACTTAAGAATCACAATTGCAAAATTGGTCTAAATAATCCCACTTGGTATTTCCCCCATATTTTGAATACATAATGCACATGTGTCAAACTCAAGGCCCGGGGGCCAAATCAGGCCCTTGGTGGATTTAATTTCGGCCCGCAGGATAATTTCTAATTACTATTAGATCTGGCCCGCCGGTATATTGCACGCACACCTTCACTCAATCCTGAGGGTCTCCTCAGCTCAGAGCCTGACCCCAAACATTGATGAACTTGCACCCAAGATGAGATGCCAAGTATCTGGCTTGAACTAGCATCACAGAGCAGCACACTGAGTTTAATGGATGTTTCCTTCTGCACTTTTTCTCTCACGACAGCAGGGCATGTTTGGTCTGTTTCTTTGAGGGAAATTGTTTTTTTGAAGCTGTTGTTGGCCTGTGGAAAAATGTAATCATAAGAAATGACTCTGCAGATAGAGCCATAAGAAATGAATGCAACTGATTATTTAATGTTTAATGTTGTTTTTATAGGCAATAATTTAAGCTTTGTTAGTTCCAGGTTTAATATGTGCAATAAGTTCATTTCAATAAGTTTTGCAATAAACATTGAACCAGTCCAGGCCCTCGACTAGTACCCATTTTTTAATTTTGGCCCACTGTGTATTTGAGTTTGACACCCCTGGCCTAATGGGTACAATTACTATCTTGCATTTGTAAGACCTCATTATCTATAAAGGATTGTTTTAAGATAATGTTTATTCTTTAGTCAATGTATTTAGAAATTAATTATTTTAAAGTTTTTAAGTTTACAGCCTCGAATGCTCTAATTTTTGTGATTTACAATTGTTTTTTTATTATAATTATTGTACGTGCATCTGTAGATCTAAATCAACTAATAGAAAAAAATGAATCACATAAAATGATTAATGGTTAAATATTCACTAGCAGTATTTAAATCAATTGAAATTAGCTCCACATGTACCAGCTGTGATGAACACAGTTAATGCAGTGGTGCAACAGAGTGACTGCTGCCACCATTTCCATACAGAGATTTTTTTTAGGCTTGCAGTTCATTTAATTTTAGGACTATAAATTAGTAATTTGGTACGACTTCAAATGGTTGAACTTTGGGAAGCAACTGTCAAAAATAGTTATCTATCAGTTTCATCACATGTTAATATTATTTATATATATATACACATTTCCACAAATTAACAATAGATATCCAATAGAAAGTTCATAAATATCTAATTTGCAGAGCTCAAAAGACATTTCAAAAATGTGACTCAGCAGTTTTATCCTCCACCCCCATCAGTTCTCACCTAGCGCTGCCTTGGCTGCAGCAGACGCCACCCGGGGGTCCACCACGGAGGCGAGGAAGGCCACGGTGCTCATGACGGGGTTTCCAGACTGGCTGAAGGGGATGGGCTGGTAGGCCAGAGGGCCCAGAGAGGCCTCGGTGCTCTCCATGTACGGATCCTCGATGGGCAGCCGCAGGAAGTGCAGGATACACTCGTCCTGGGTGCGCGACCCGATGTGCTCTGACACTTTGTTCCAGTCGTCCTTGAACATCTCCAGGGCCTGGAAGGAGTGGAGGGGGGGGGGGGGGAATTAAACACGTGTCAGTCTTTATATCTGGTCAGTATGTAATATTTATAGGAGGTTTGCAGGAGAAGGAGGACAGAAATACAGATTAAAGGGTCGTAAGGAAAGAGAGGATGGAGTTTTATGTACTGTGGAAAAGAGGGGAATTTAAATGTAAAGGTGAGAAAAATAAAAAGTCAAATAAAAAAAAAGGAATAAATGAAATACAGGGGCTTAAAAAAAGAGTTTAAGAAGGAGGAATATGAAGGACAAGTAGGTGAGAAAATAAATACAATTGAAAAGGAAAACAGGTGACGACAAGCAAGTAAAATAACCATCTTTAATATCCATAAGTATTCATGACAGCTGATTAGAGGAAGTTTCAGCGCTCAGCACTCACACATATTTACAATTCAGAGTATTATTGTAGCTTTCTTTGGTCTCTAAGGTCTTTGAGACTCACCTCCAGCAGCAGAAGAGTCTCCTGCTCGGTCCAATCCCTGGTGGAGTTGGTAGTTTTGCCCTGTGAGGAACAACAACAAAATCACATTAAAATAGCAAAATAACCTCCAAGATAAGTAGGAATATATATGAATACCCGTTTAAGCTTTTTTTTTTACAGTTTTTTTTAATTAACTAAGTTTTAAGAAATCATTCCACCACCTTTCAAAATAAGTCAAACTAGAACAATTTATAACTTAACAGGTTTTAAAGCTAGTAGCATGCTGACCTTGAGATTTTTCTTGTTGTAGAGGTCGGAGCGCAGGCCGTAGTTCTGCAGGTCGATGGACTTGTCTTTGATTTTGTCTGCGAAGTTTGGCATCTGCTGTTGAGGGGGAATCTAGAGGGAGGAAACAACACATGAGCAATGATGGCGTGGTACTTCTGCCTGTGGAGACATTAAAGGGGACCTATCATGCAAAATGCACTTTGTGATGTCTTTTATACATAAATATGTGTCCCCGGTGTGTCGGGGAACTCACGCAGCGTCAGAAAATAAAACCCTCTCTCTTTTCCTCCGTACCCAAATCTCTAAAAACGGGGCTACAACGGAGCTGATCCAGATTTGCGTCCGATATGACGTAATATCTGAAATGTGGACCCACGGCCCCATCAGAAAAGTTGCTATCAGAAACAATGCCCGACTGTTTTGGACGTAATATGGTCGGTGTTTACATTAGCATCGCTAACACTCAGAGCTAACCTGTACTGGAGAGCATGTGTGTGAAGAAGCAGGAAATAAAAAGGAACTCACCTTGTGGTATAACCGGCAAGAGAGAAAGCCTTTGAGCTCCATACTGTTTCAGAAATAATCCTTGATAATCCATGATATGGCGTTTCATCACCGCAGTATTTAGTTTCAGACAGTAGCTATACCCAAAATCAGCACTTTTGAAACAGGAAGTGGAATAGAAGGGATATGAGGCATGGCTAGAATGTATATATTTTTATATATATATCTGAGACCTATGCTATTGCCTAAAAATAGCATGATAGGTGACCTTTAATACCAAATTCTACTGTGTGTTATAATGCTAGCAGTAAAATAAGATATGAACAATACGCTGAATTGCACTGAAGCGGTCTCAATCGTTTTCTCCAATTTAACGAACCCTTTTTATTCTTCTTTCACTTTGTATATATTTCAGTCAGTCTTACCGGAGGGGGTCTGTGGTTCAGGGGAATGAGGCCAGAGGGTGTGTCAGCCAGCACGGTGAAGTGGGGGGTGGGTGGGGGTCCCATGGGCAGCGGGCGACTCTCGGAGTCCACCTGGTAGTTCACCAGACCCCACTGCTCCAAGAAGGCATGAACCCTGGAGAGAAAAAATATATGATAAATGTCATTTTTGTCCAGATTATTTCCATGTATTCATACAGAGTCAATTCTGTGGGGATTTTTCAAATGTTGTTGATCGAGTCCTATGAGGAAATGTATACATCTTGAGTGGCACAGTGGGTGTTAATGGTATATTGTTGGTTTCCCGATGTTTAATACCACAAAAACGACATGTCAAGCAATAAATAAACATATTTCAAAATGTATTAAGTTAGCATTTCAACTACATTTTGTACTTTTTGAAATAAAAACGCTTGTGGAATGAAAACAGGAAATCATCTCCTTCATTCTTTTATTGAAAATGTAAATTAATTGAAACTGAACTAAATAAAGATGTTCTGCATTGTCTCTACAAATGTTTTTCTGTTTTTTGGTAAAAACAGGGGAAGGAGCTGCCTTTGCAGAAGTAATATAGATATTTGGTTAAATTACAAACTTGGTAAAAAATAAACCCTGTGCTCACCTCATGATGGCACAGACGTCTCCTGTCAGGTTCCTGCGACAGGAGGTGGAGGTGAGGTACTCCTGAGGGTTTAGCCGGTACGTGTCGATCATGAAGTTACGGTAAGCCAGGAATCTGTGAGAAGAACCACAAAGAGATTAGTATGACAAGACAGGAAACAGATCATCATGAGTCTACATCAACAGATTGTACAATAATTATACAAGTATATGACACATGTCTACTGTGTTTATATGGAGCTTACATCTCTGGAGTTTTGGACTTGTTCTTTCCGTTGAAAAACTCGGGCAGGGCTCTCCTCTCGATCTCATGGATGCTATAAAAGAAAAAAACATTTCGGTTAAATACTTAATGAATTTAGGAGTATTCATTAACTATGGCTCATTGTTATCTGCTATATAATGACAGGTATAAATAAATACTTATACTATATCTAAGGTGTGAATTAGGGATGCTCCGATCGCCAATTTTGGGGCCGATCACCGGAATCAGTATCGGCCGATACCGATCGCCGATCCGATCGAGTGGGGGCTATGGGACCTTCCATTGAAGGTTAGCTCAGTTAATGGGGCTCATTCATTGGCGCTTCCACAAACAACCAACATAATTATTACATTCAAATGAAGTAAATTATTCAAGTTTACATTAACTTTGGATAATAACACGGGAGAAATGAGCGGAAGCGCTCTCTTTTCCTCTCTCCTGACAGCCTGTCAGTATCTCATGCAGCTCACTGATCCAGTAATGAGTGACCAGACAGTGAAGAATAAATATATGTATAACTAATTTAGCTTGTTCCAGAGGTAGATAAAATAGCTAAGTGTGTTAGGTCTAACTCTTAGTGTGTGTTCTGCTCCGCTCACCGGTCCGTCACAGCGGGTGGAGCTGCAGGATTTCTGCTTCACACACGTTGCATACCGCTATTTTACTGTTTTTTTCGGACACCTTAAAATAATGCCAGACTGGTGAAGCCATTTTGACGAGCTTGTTTTGCAGCGCACAGAGAAAAGTGTCATGTATTTTACGTCATGTGATCGGCTCTCCTGGTCGGCCTTTATAGAGAGCACCGATCGATCGGCCGAGAGTGAATATCGGCCGATATCGATCGGAGCATCCCTAGTGTGAATCTTCTCAAACCTTCACATTATATGATATGACTGCCATAATAGTGACCTATTTTTATCTCAATGATCTCCAACTCCAAGTAAAATACAGCATGATGTAAATAAATAGACTGCAAATAATACGTGACATCTAAAAACAACTATAATACCCATTTGAAAGCACATTTAGGCCTAAAGTTGTCCTTATATCCCACCAGAAAATAAATAAATAAATCACATTTTGTAAAATAAGCAATATTTGTGCAGTATTGTCGTGTTTATCCACATTCCCCAGGTCTTACCAGTTGTAGTCGAACCAGGCGCTGTAGCTGGGGATGATGATGTGGTGAGTCTGTTCGGTCACGTTGTCCTCGCTGGCGTCCATCAGTCGGTTGATCTCAGCTTTGCCCTGCTCCTCATCATCCTGCAGCATAACACAGATACCGTCAGCATAAAGAAGATACGTTTTATATACGAATACACATTATAAAAGTCAAATTTCCTAAAGCTTTCTTAACAACAAAGTGTTTGCACGGATGAAAAATAAACTGAGCTTGGAGCAATATTTCACAGAGGAATACAAATATATTTCATCTTATTTCTTTCCCCAATTATGACTTCGGGAAGACTCGATCTCCAACGTCAGGAAAAACATCCTCAGTAAAGATGAATATGGGAATAATATTGAAGGAAGGCAGACTTTGAAAACTAGACTAAAAAGAGAAAAACGTTTTGACCTGATCTGGTTGTTAAATATCAAAAAGACAAATGTTCAAAATGACAAATGGCTAATTATAAGTAATTATTTTCCATATTTTAAATGTCTTTTTTTCCAGGCTTATACATTTTATTTAAAGACATTTTATAATGTGTATTCCAGGCACAGATTATATGGATTATGGATTGAGTCCTATCATTAAATTGCATACAATCCTGTCATCAGCATGACTAAACCATTTGGGGTCTTTCAAACCATCTTCATGATGAAGACATAGTAAGGTTAAAAAGTTCCTTTGTTGGTCAATATAACTTATTATTTTGTAGCGAAAACTGTAACTTTTTTCTTTTCACATCGTTACCTTAATGTTTTTGATTACATTTTTTAAAAAGGTGCATATGATTGAAAACGAAATTCCCATAAAAAGTGTATCATGGCTCTTCATGTGGGAAATGCATGAGAGCATTAGTCAACAATCACTGAGGTTAGACTGTGACACATTTGGGCTCTAATAACATCTGGTGGTGATTTGTAAATGCTTCTAAAATGTTCCATCCCTCCCATTCACACCAGCTACAGTATTTAGTTTGATGGAGACAGAGAGTCGTAAATCATCTCACCTTTCCACCAGACAGCACAGAGTCATCCTCCATGTCATCTGGAAGTAACAACAGATTTCCATCATAAGGGCAGAAAGACTCATTCTAATCACTGTGTTATTCTTTAGAAATGTTATTTTAAACACAACTAACCAAGTCAATTATATAATAGATACATACCCAGGTCAGCCAAAGTCCCTCCTTTCACCGGAGTACTCTCGTTGTCTTTCTTTGAGTTTGCTGTGTATGGAAAAAGAATATGAGAAAAGAGACGATTGAAAAGGGTAAAACATATAAGTTAATTCCGCCGTGGGTATGGAGGCATTAGAGACACTGTTTGGAAGAGAGGACACTGAAATAAATGGAGTGAGAAATACTTTTCGTGTGTTCAGGGGAGAGAGAAGTGATTTTTGGAAAAGTGGGACATTTCAGATGGGACTTAATGGGAGCAGTTTGAAAAGGATTACATGTCTGGCTCCTGAGGCTTTTTTCCTACTTTTTTTAACTGGGATATGGTGAGAGTGTGTGTGAGCGTGTGTGTGTGTGTGTTGCAGATGAAGAGGAATTTCTGTGCGTGGCTGTTCTTATCATTCTCATTTCCCCAGTTTAAAATATGCTCGGATTGGTTAGCTGACCAGTTCTGTTGTGATTGGTCATCTGCCTAGAGATGTCCCGCCCCTTAGCCTAACTTGTACAATATGTTGGAGCGCTAGCCAATAGAAGCGCAAATGTTACATAGTGATGTTATTACGTTGGGATGTTAGCCTTTGCAGACCATTTACATGCACACAAATCTATAGAAGCACACGACAGGAAATAAAGTCTCCAGCTCAGCCCCACTATCATGACGTACCGTTCTTGGACACACTGCCCTCCTCCATGCTGGCGCCAGCGGAGGAGTCGTCCATGTCCTTGTTCAGGTCCTCCTCCGTGTCCTCCTCCTCGCCTCTGTGGCCCCGCCGCTTCCAGGAAGGGGTCTGGTTCCTAACACCAAAGACAGAGTCATGAGTCAACAAAAATCTATTTGAGACACATTTGACAAGATCGAGCATTTTAAAAAAAGGTGTTACACATTTTTTTCAAGCAATTTAAACGTGTGTTTAAGATCATTTTTGTTGTCAAAAGTCATAAGATTGTTACAATGCAACGACAGAAACTTAAGACAAAGACACCAACAGTCTCTTGCACAGATCACTAAATATTATTTTGCTATTAACAACCAAAGTTATGATGTGTGACACCAGTCTAATTAGTGGTTAAAATAAAAAAAAGGGGAAACATTTGTTTTAAATGCAATAAGACTTTGTAACTCATACAACTCAAAAAAATAAAATACATTTAAGGATTTCCAGCACTTGTAGAAACCAAGCCTGAGCACACGACTCAAAGACATTCTGTGTTTGGACTTAGCTTTGTTATTACTCTTTTAATGTCTAGTGTGGTATCATTTATTTTCATTTCCAAGTGCATTAACATCTATGGTAAGATTAAAAAGGATATGTCTAGTAATATTCTACATTTGTTCACACCAAACCCTCTATAAGAGCTCAAAACCACCAATGAAACTCTAATAAATCTTAAAAACCCATCAAAAAGCAACACTTTTGCACTAGGTAGCAAGCTAATCCTTTCCATGAATATAGCAACTGCTTTTTTGGAGTAAATGCCACAATAATCCACCACTTAAAGTAGTCCCAAACGGATGCAATATTTAAGTTACATTTCAAGGTTCAAGGCTTTTATTGTCAAGCCTTGAAATGCAACTTAAATATTGCATCTGTCTAGTAATATTCTAAAAAAAAAAATTCACACCAAACCCTCTATAAATAGCTCAAAACCACCAATGAATCTTAAAAACCCATCAAAAAGCAACACTTTTGCACTAGGTAACATGCTAATCCATCACCATGAATATAGCAACTTCTATTGGACTCGATCCCACAATGCCCTGCATACGGGAGAAGCATCAAATGAGTATTAATCCGCCACTTAAAGTAGTCCCAAACAGATGCAATATTAAGTTACATTTGCCACAGCTCATTGTCACATCACTCTTATATATTTGTAATTGTTTCTAATACTTTTTCCTACAAGTTCCTTTCAGTTATTATGCTCCAAATATCTGGAACAAACTCCCAGAACCCTGCAGGTCCGCTGCAACTCTGACTACTTTTAAATCCAGGCTGAAGACTTTTCTTTTTGCCGTTGCTTTCAATTGAACTATTCACATCTTACTCTGCACTGTAACTTTAATTCATGTACCTTTGTTATTCATGTTTTATTATCTTTGCTTTTTAATGAATGTTTCTTAATGCTCTTAATGCCTTTCATTTTTGTAAAGCACTTTGAATAGAGTGGTGCAGGGATGACGTATTTACCAGGAAGTAAGCTGCTGGTTCCCTCGACAAAAAAGCAACGGGATTTCTCCATAGGATTTTGGAAAATATCTCGAAATAAGGAAAACGAACCTGTTTGATAAATGCACGTTTTGTTCAGCCGGATAATCTACACATGTCTACCCTACTTTTATAATTGTCGAATCATAAATCTAATGGCCAGAAGCAAAATGCTAACGTTATGCTATAAACAAACTACATTCGAGTACCACAGGGTCGCACGACTTCAACGTCACTCCAACTTAAGATCCATATTCAAAGATACAGATTCTAAATGGTACAAGTGGAAGCGTTTGATTTAACAGTTTGCAGGAGGCAGGTACTTGCTTTCAAGCAGAACAGGGGCAAACAAACTTAGCGGGAGTGTTTACGTGTTCGGCGTAATGACGTACAACGTCCTCGACAACTTCTGTAGTCCTATTCAGCCACTTGTTAACAACCATTGTTTTTCAGACACGTAAACTCTTCAAAACTCACCAGTGTCACTGCTGATGTATTTAATGTCGTAGAACAAAACGTGATCCGTCTCTTCAATGTGTCTCAACCACAGACCTTATTTACAGCTATTTTCCAAAATCCTATGGAGAGATCCCATTGGCTCTGAGACGAGGGAACCCATAGTGGTAAAATGCTAACTCACTTCCCGGTTTTAGGACGCGTCACTGCACCACTCTATTGCCTTGTGTTGAAAGGGGCTATATAAATACAACTTGCCTTGCCTTACAAAAGGAAATAAGAATACAAAATGGCCTCCTTACCCCTTCTTCCCTCCCTTCTTGCGGGACTCTGCGGGAGTGCTGGGCGGCGAGGGAGAGCGCCTCCTCTTCTTGCTGGCGGAGTTGGCCTTGCGCTCCTTGCGATCGGGTGTACGGGAAGACTGATCAGACAAACCCCGTGCAGCGCAGAGGGAGCGAGGGATGGAGGATGAGAGAAAGAGCCGCAGAATGAGAGGATGGAACGGTTGCACACACAAGGAGGGGAGGCGGTGGGAGAACGACGGCAGGGAGTGGGGGGGAGGGAGGATGCAGTGGAGGTGGAGGAGACGACCAGGGTTCCTGTAAACTGTCCGCTATTTCAAAATGCACCCGAAACTTTACGTTTGTTTGCGGTCTAAGATTTATCCGAAATATAAGTCAACACCTAACTTTAGTAATGACTCTTACTAGTTACTATACATGCTTTTTATATTTGAGCACTTGCTGTTTTAGGCCACTTTGCACCCAGTAAAACAAATACTTTGAAATAAACCAGGTTGTAAACAGCTGTGCATTGTGCTAGACTCAAATTAGTCCAAAATATCCTCTCTTTCACCCAGACATGTACTTTTTTGTGTGCATTATGGTCAAAGATGTATCCGCACACCGATCAAGTCAGCACCTAAGTTTTGTAACAAGATTGTTTTTGTTTTCAAACTTTCATTTTTATTTGCTTTGCGCCCCGTAAAACAAATATAAGTAAAACAAAATATTTTGAGTCAAACCAGCTTCTTATAAGTTTGACAGTAAGCATAATGTTAGCTGGAGGGTATTTTCATAAATTGTCAAAGACCTAAGGTTCATCCCAATGTCCCTCCTCGAATCCTCTCCCCTCGGTGACTTGACCTGGAAATCGATCGGGACACGCCATGTTGAAGGACGTCCCAATCGCTTAAATGCACACTGAGGAGTCGAGGAGGGAGGAGGCTTCCAGAGGAGACGCTAGACAAGGGTTTGGCAACATTTTACAATCGAAAGAGACATTTTCCATCCTCTTCAAACTAATTTAAAAAAAAACTTGTCTGGGTCTTATATAATTATCATATAAAGACACAAAAACTATAGTTAGTTTAGGAAATTATAGAACGACAGCACGAAACAGCGCTTTGTGTCCAATATCATTCCTGACTCATCACAGGCGATTTCTTGAGCCGAATTACTGTCCTCAATGTGTTGCACTTTTAATAAACTAGACAAAAGATATACAGTATAGTGTAATTTTCCCTCTCACATGGCCTCTAACTTTAGTCGATTAAAAGCTTTGAGTCTGTGCAGCAGATCAATTGTGGTTTGTAAAGCTACTTCACCAGCTTTTATTCTGATTTTTAAAACCTTTAAATCTTTTTCCAAACATGGACAGAAACCCTGAAACAAACTAGGAGACACAGAGCGAGTAAAGGTTTGGAAAGGATGGGCAACAAACAGACAGACAGACGGATAGAGAGATAGACAGACAGACGAAGGAGGACGGCGTCGGACTATTCACAGCTTCATGCAACAAAACACAAAACCTGCAGCAAAACACACTTACACACAAACCACCATTCAGACTGAACTCAAAGTTTTCCATCACAAACTTTCCATGCAGTACAGCATTCATGACCAGTATTAGATATTTAAAAAAAAAAAAAATGTATGCCTTTTGTTGGTTATTTAAAACACTTGTGAAGTATATAATCAGATATGTGTTGCCGGTTTTTAACAACACCATTGTTTTCAAGCTGTACTGACTAGAAAACATTCAGATTTGTGATTTTCTGGGACTGAATAACATACACTCACACACACACTGTCTCACACACACACAGGACAGTGAGCTACCTCCTCCTCCTTGGGGAAGATCCTCTGGCGGAAGTTGACTGGCTTCTTGTTGTCGTCCACCTCGTAGTCTTCCTCGTTCATCCACTCATTGAACGAGTCGGTGTCTATAACCCACTTTGCATGCACCTGAGTGGGAAGGAGACAGAGTTTGTGGACAGTTCTTCAACATGATCAAGTCTGAGTTTTAAAGGTGTATTATTCCATCCAAGAAGTGTCACATCAACACTTCTGCCCTGAATTTCATCAATTGGAAATAATGTACATTTGACCAATTATTTAGTGCTGCTGGACACAATGACTGCTTGTTCACAAAAGCAGCAGCTATTCGTCCCCAATTGGTTTTGTTTTGAGATAAATATCCCAATACAAATGTTAAAAATGAATTGAAAGATATTTTTCTCTATTAATGCCAATGTCTTTGTTAAAATATATGAGTTTGTTTTCACCTTCCATGGCCGGTCGTTGCTGGGGGGGTCCTCCACGTCGCCATCCACCTCTGTTGCTGACACCCAGGTATCATAGCTAATAGAATAAATAAACAAGCCAGCGGTGAGTACAAGATTCATGAACGGACATGCTGTACCCAGAAATAGAGAGGTTTTCTTATTAGAATGAAAAACATAATCCTCCCAATTAATTTAAGATTAAAAAATATGGATATGTATTGATCAGTGTAGTATGGAAATTGAAGGGGTGGGAATCACCAGGCTCCCCACGATACGATTGCGATACTTAAGCAGTGATACGATACTATTGCGATACTTAAGCCACGATACAATAGTATTGCGATACTTAAGCCACAATACGACACTATTGCGATACTTAAGCCACGGTACGATACTATTGCGATACTTAGGCCACGATACGACACTATTGCGATACTTAAGCCACGATACGATACTATTGTGATACTTAAGCCACGATACGATAGTATTGCGATATTGCAAATCACATGGCTCATATCCATGTCCGTCTTCCCTTCCTGGTTAAAAAATGTATTTGCAATATGTATAGTTTATGTAAATAACCCAATTTGTGTTCTTTGAACCTGAAAAGGAGATGGCATTGTTTTTGTTACTTTCATTGCAATTGTATACATGTCTTAACGTAACTTCCAGTTTTATTTACGACTATCTTTCGGAGGGATATGCTACAGTACAGTTTCTATAAAAAAATAATTTAAAAAAGAAGTTTCTATAATGAAATATCAATACTTGGCGCCCGTGTATCGATACAATATCACCACGCAAAGTATCGTGATACTATGCTTTCCCCCACCCCTTGCAATAAAATGAAAGATATTCAAGAATCTAGGTTATACAAATACCCAATTTAAAGCAAAAATCTTCTATAGCAGCATTTCTTTATTAACTATTTAGGATATCCAAGTAAACAATCTTCATCAAATCAGTCGAGTAACTCGAAAATGGAAACTTAGAAGGAAATGTTGAAAAGAGTGAATATCTTTCTGAGCAACATGTTATTTATCAGGTTTAGTCAATTTAAATATGTGTCTGTTAAGTCGCTTCGGAAACATGCAAGCTGTTTCGGTGGCTTAATGACAGATGGAGGAAAATCAAGGGAAGTAAATATGTTTGAATGAAAACACATATATGACACAGTGAGATCTGTGAGCCTCTCTATGCTGTTCTCTACTCACCTGTCGGGGGAGAGACCCCAGTGAACCAGCACCTGTTTGTCTTTCCTCGTCACAGGGCGCAGCCACTCATCTGCAACATACACAAACCAATCGCTGACAAATACACACTGGCCAGTAAGCTATACGAAATACAACTGCGTAAACTAAAACATATTTGCAGTTACAAAATAATTGAAAACCCTGGGAAAATGATCATCAGCCAGATATTTGATGTTATTTGTAATCATCATAAGAATTTGTATTTTCAACAGCTTGCAAAAGGACTCATATTTGCCATCAGGCTAAAAATGAATACGGCCCATGAATTGATACCGTCAAAAATGTGATCCAATCCGAAATTAAAGACAATTCAACCCCTACCTTCTTCTTGTTGGGATGTAGAGGGGTAAATGTGGTGGGTGGCCTTTGACTTGTCATCAGTAATGGAGCCCTGGAGAGGATAGAGTGGAGGAAATGACAATCAAAAGATAAATACAACAGAGTTTGCCGTTAGAAAGACAACCGCTCTACTTGCCGGACAAATCAATGTCTGAGGAAAGGTTTTTATGTAGAAGGTTCAGGCTCACCTGGTGCCGCTTGACGATGTCTTTCAGCTTACTGGCTTGTTTCTGCTCGATGTCCGTCGACAGGAATACGGTGGGTCGAGTCAAGCAGTTATTCTACAAGCACAGAAATAAAAAGTTAGGACCATAAACAATATATTTAATCCCAAAAACAGGATCTAGAAGAATAAGGTTGATCATGTATCTATCCATCTAGCTTGTTTTGGGGAAAACTGTACATTTACAATAACAAAAAAACACCAGTAGAACTAATGCATTTAGGTTATTTCGCAAAGTAGCAGATAACTTTAAAAACGGTACAATCTGGTCTCAATAAAGTGCAGCTTCATTGAGCAATACTTGGCGTTTTGAAAATATTGTTGGGCTCTTTCTAAAAGTGCTGGATTATTCAAAAAGCAGCATCATCAAACAAAAATCAAGTGTATTCACTCATTACAGAGCAGCAGACTTCTTAATGTAGTTGTGTGGTGTTCTTTTTATGTGCATCGTGTCTGAACTGTACGTTGTGCTTTGCGTGGTGAGTGTTGTTTTCTTGCCGATTCCAAAGACACATTTTAATTTGATTGTACATTTAATAGTCAGTAAGGTAATCTGAATTGGGGACACGGAAATGCTCCTCAAAGCAGCAGCTTGTGTTTGGAGAGTATGGGTCGTACCTGCACCAGGTTCTTCTCCACATTTAGGAACATCTCCACGTTCCTGTCCATCCGGGAAGGATTCTGCAGGTCAAATCTACGCCTGGGAGTGATTAGAAAGGACAATTAGACATATAACGAAATAGGGTTGTAATAGAGTAATACAGAACAAACAACACCTACAACACAGAGTTTAGTAAGAGTGAAAACAAACGAGTGAACGTGTCAAAGCAAAAACAGGAGCATATTTGTGATAACGGAGCCAATTGGTTTGCTTTTAGGACTACATACTGGTTTCAGTTTTGGTCAACTCACCACCCCTGCTCGCTCTTAAACTTGTAGACCGACCCTAGGATGTGACAGAGAGCACCTCCGGCCTTGAAATCCAGGAAACACTTGGCCTGAAGATAGAAGAATAACAATGAGGATATACAATGTCAGCACTCAGATATTGCCTTCTATACATGTCATTAAAGCACAGACAGAAGGAAAGTATGTTGTTTTGAGGAAAAACAAAATGTATGTGTTTGATGTGCTTACAGGTAGCTTGGTAAGAGCAGGATTGTTGACCCTGCGTCCGAACGCGTCCTCCTGGAACTGCAGCAGCTGGACCACCAGACCCGCCAAGGATTTACTGGAGGGGGAGTCATTCTGCACATACTGGGAGCAGACAGAAATAAAAACATTAATAAAACACACATACACACTCCAGGGAAACTGATACACATACGAAAGCTGCACAATTAGTCCCATACACTGTATCACATGTGTACTTTATCACAACTCTAATGTCAATAATTGAGGGGGGGAAATGTACCGTTGAGTCTGTAAGTAAAACAAATGTATTAATAAACCACCCGAATAAATAATAATGCATATTTACAGAGTGCTGTTCCCAGTGCTCAAATATGCTTATTTACACATGTAAGACATCCTATATAGGCTTCTTGAAAAATACATATAATTGACTATGAATGACAAAACTGTTCATTTGTTAAAGTGCTAAATGTATCAATTTAAAAATCATGTGAAGTTGCCAATATCGGTGCATTTTGTAATCTGAAGCACCCGGTTTAAAGTGATTACTCCTGCTCTGGCATAGAGATAGCTGCATTGTTGATACAATGACACAATCTGGCTAGGAGAAATTAGGACAAACCAAAGTATTTATAACAAGGACAGTGAGAAGGAGAGCCACTTCTAACCTTAAAACACATCCAACGTGGCTGTTTTCGGGAACACTGATTGCATATAAACAAAGCCAAGCAAAGCTCTGGGTTGGCATTTGTGAAGAAGCATGTTTACAAGTTTAGTCCCAGATGTACATATGTGTTTAAACCTAACTTAGTCTACACAACAGCTTTCAAAATTCCCCCATCAAGCTTTTTGTCTTTTACTTCAACATGCAGGGCTATGGGGCATGTCAGTGGGTTTGATTGAGAGCATGAAGGGACAGGAGGAGCTTTCTTTGTTTAGCTAACTAAGTGGAGCATGCACAGTGTGCTATGCTGTGTTGACAAAACTCAAAAACGCGCACTCTCCAGCCACAAAACAACTGCTCTTGCAAAACGCACACCATACTCTGATGCTTGTGCATTGAGTACATGGGCATTCATAAGAAAAAAAAAAGCGAACGCTGGGTTATATTCAGGTTGTATTTTAAGTTGCTTGATAACGCTGGGTCCCGTGACAAGCGAGGGTAACATTGGGTTAGCTTCTGAGGCCTTTGGCAAGACTCAAAGAGAGTTTTGTTTAAAATGTTTGAATCGATTAAGGTTTTTTACACATTAATTAAAACATAAATTGCAGAAGCTCCCATTTCCGCGCCTTTATAAGCATTTTCGCCCCGTGTGTTATTGTAACAACACTGAAGGAGCAGTTACAGAAATACAATAATACACACACTTTCTTTTTGTACTGTGCAATAATCACTTATTTGATAACAAAGACAGATTATAATGACAAAACACCATGATATGTTCCTTATGTCACTTTTCAATCGCGTCTACTCATTTGTAGCCATGGTTGTGTACTAATGGTTGTCTATATTATTACTAATGAGTGATTTTCTTCTCTATATTTAATAAATAAACGTACTATTTATGATTGCATGCCCTTTTTTTATTCACTTTTGCTGTAAAACCGTTCATTTCCCCGCTTCGGGACATTCTGGTTAGCTAGCTAACGATGAGCTAGCTAACACATAAACAGCCCCAATCATGTAAAGAACGAGTATTTAAACTCATGCTAACACGAACATGTGCTTACAATACATCCCTGCACGTAAAGACAAACACTTGTAAGAAAAGCTTCGTCTTTATCTGTAGTTTGTGTTGCTAGCTAGGATAGCAGTTGGGATCCATTGTGCCAACGGGCCGTCATAGAAATCAATGGAGAACCAGCTACCTTCTTGTAGTGTTTTCCGATCCACTGCCGAACCGTCTCAAACTGCGATATCGTCTCAGAACTTTCCCAAAATTTCGCAGACGGACCGCCGTCTTTCTTCCTCCCCACTGCGGTGGTCCCGCCGCCCACAGTGCCCGTCGCCGGTCCGCCTGAGCCCGTCGCGCCTGCCGTTGTCGCCGCCGTCGCCATTGTGTGTTTTGTTCGCTGCGTTTCTTTCTCCTCCACGGCCGCGTCGCTCAGCGTGCAAGTTTTCGAATGATATTGCGCAGCCGCAGACGGGGTTTACACTCACATCTCGCGAGACTCGTTATTATAGGGCTTTATGGGAAATGTAGGCAGTTACAGGAATCTGAATCAGAAAGAATCAGGTGTTTAGCCAGGGAGGTTTACACATGCGAGGACACTGCCTTGGTGTACATGGTGCAAAGATAAACACAGTTAAAGAAGATAGAAGTAATAAAAACAACCAAAGAATGAAATAAAAACTATTATTAAAAATCTATTAAAAGAATGTATGCGTTAAGTTACAGAAAATGATTTACATATATCTGGATAAACCAAAAAAAAACAGTACATGTGTGCAGTATTGTTATGCAATGTGAAAAGCTGTGTACTGTAGATAATAAGAGAGGCATCAGATTGGTTTGTGTAAGTCTTGCATTTCTCTATTTTAGAAAAGATAAAAAATTAAAAACAAATATTTATAAGAATAAGAATAATACATTTAATGTATATAGGCAGGGCAAGTTATTTATAAGGCAGCTTTATACCTCTTTCACCTCTCTGCTCCATAGTTTTTCTCTTCTGTGTATATTTGACATTTATATATTCAGTCTAATATTTAATATTCCATCCGTCACATACTTATGTATATATAATACCTTGCTTTATATCTTATTATTGTTCATTTGTAAATTCAACATGTATATTTTCTACTTTCTTGTTTATTTCTTGTCTTTTAATTTTTATTGTACAATGCCATGTCTTTTTATGCTGCTGCAACACAAACATTTCCCAAATGGGATCAATAAAGTTATATCTTATCTTATCTTTCAACACAAGGCAATTCAAAGTGCTTTACAAAACCTGCGGTGTCTCACAGAGAGATACTGCAGGTCCTTCTTTCCTGCAGCGGTCAGACTGTACAACCACCCTGGTAGACCCCACACACACATATAACAACAAAGACTAAAACACTCCTGTTGTGCAATACTACATATGTGCAATATACTGTATATCAGGGGTCGGCAACCTTTTTGATATGAAGTGCCATTAAAAAAAAAAATTGTTATCAGCGTGCCAACGATCGAGAATTATCAACGGAGGGGGGGGGGGGGGGGGGGGGGGGGTTTGAGGAGCTTGACGCTGGTGAACTCTCAACAGGAGGGCGGGGGGAGCCTCGCTGCGGGGAAGCAGTGTGTGTGTGTACCTGTCAGCACAACTTACATGATGCCGAATTTAACAAACACATTTAATTAAATTGGTTTAAACGGCATAATAATAAGGACGATCGTCCGTTCTGTGATTCTCCAGAACACACATGTTATGATATTAGGGTCAGGCAGAGTGAGATGAGATCGCTGTCCCTTTAAGAGAGAGAGAGAGAGGGGTGTGGCGTGTGCATGTGTGTGTGTGGATGGTAGAGCGACAGTGAGGGAGCGTGTGTGTGTATGTTTCTGGAAGTGAAACGAGGCAGCAGAAAAACAGAGGTCTGTGATGTATTTTGTGAAACAGAAGAACAGCTAAATAAATGCAACGGCCTCCCCAGAAGAGCTCGCCTCTCTCCAGTCATTTAAGCTAAAGTGGGTTATTGAACCTGAAGCTTGTTGCTTCTGCCCTCCTCGACTACGGTCTGGGAGCCGACAGGAAAGTTCAACACACAGATGGCCAGTCCGCCCCTTTGTAGCATATTATTTCAATGAGAGATGAGCAGATCGCCACTGGGCTTTCAACTAAAGACACAGCCACGCAAAAACTGCGGCATTTGTAAAGCTCCTTATGGGTACTGCAATTGGTACAGCCCTGCACCACGGAGGAAAGCGGCAGAAAGTCACCTGGAGTTAAACAGAGCGGGGCTGCGTTGCGTGCATGGCTTCCTTCTGCAGGTAACGGGGAGACGCGCTCTGGCGGCGGTCTCGTTCAGGATCCGAAAATACAATTTAAATATTTTGCACACTTATTCGACTTATTCCTAGTGTGCCACTGGTTACGGTGCCGCGTGCCAGGGGTTGCCGACCCCTGCTGTATATATACAGTAAATAGCTGTGCAATTTATTCTACCACCTTTTATTCTTTCACCTGGCTGTTATATCGCTAAACTGTTATTGGTACTGGATGTGTATCTTGTAAATTGTGTAAGTTTTAATATTTTGTTCTTATGCATGCTTCTTGGTGATATTAAGCTATCTTTGGCTCTCTACTGTAACGATTGTAAATGTCCCCCCTGTGAGACAAATAAAGGTATTCTGATTCTGTCATGGGGTTATAATGCCCACTGAATCCAACTGTATTTTTTTTAGCACAACACCTTTAAACAATAATAACATGTATATGTTTTATTGGTATTTATTACACTCTGATCATTCATACAGAAATAAAACACATTCTCAAGGTGTGAATTTTTGTATTATTATGGACCTTTTCTCCACTCTTCTGTCCTCAAAGGGTTTCACACTTCATTGTTTGTTTGCCTTTTAAGCATTAATATTACATTTCGGAAAATACAAAGTACAAACGTTATCTAACAAAGCCGGGAAGTTGTGACTTATATGATTCTCATGGCGGCGTATCAGCAACATCAATGGTCTCCGACTGAACTGTTATCTAGTTGTTCTGGGAAGTACAAGCGTATTTAGGTTGGAATTAAAAGTGAAGTTCACTTTATCTAGATTCTGGATAGTTGTAAAAAGGGATTTGCTAATGTTGTCATTGACTGCTCTTAATCATTCTTAATTCCTCCCAGATAATGTAATGTTGTATTGTGGAGACCTATACAAACAACACATTTTCAACATGTAGCTGCTGGTGCATCCATCAAGTTACAAAATACATCTTCACAACGTTCTCTGACCGCTCCATCTTTTACTACGGTTTCTCCTCAACTCTGCAAAAGGCAACAATGTGCAAATGTTAAAATACTTTTTGATTTATAGATTTGCCGATACTCAACGACATATTAGTGTTTCATTTAAAGACAATTTGACAATGCATGGCAGAGTGACCAAGTCAATTAGGTGGCATGTCTATTATGTTAAATCAGCCGAGACACAATACATTAAGGTCAATCAGTTGGCACATAAGTTCATGACATTTTCAGTGCTTTTCGAGATGTATTTTGTATATTTATGGACTGATTCATGTGGTTTCACACTTCATGTTTTTTTTGCCTTTTCAGCAACAATTCCTGAGAATTCAAAGTTCACTTATTATCTTAGAAAACCGGGAAATCGTATCTTAAATGATCCACATGGCAGCGTATCAACAACATTAATATGCTCCAGTTTTACTGTTTTATCTTTGATTATCTGACCAGGAAGTACAACCATATTCATTTGGAAACTGCCAATAAACACCAAGTGTACGGTGGCACAATTGTTCAAAACAAAAGGTATCTTATATAAGCAAAACAAGTCATAAAAGTGCATGCTTATACCTTAATGCAATTTACATTCAACTCATTTTGTAACCTGAAACCAGATTTAGTTGAAGATTGATTGTGTTAAATCTTGAAAATACAATAAGAAAGCTGGCACCAGGCAACATCCAAGACAACATCCCTGACGAGAATAAGCCTTATCTATATCCAAGGACAATGTTTTATTTGATAAATCATTACTAATTGACAACACATGCCATGATAAGACGTACAAGATGAATAAATATCCCTGTGTGGTCTGAAGCAAATCACATTCATCAACACAACACAAAGAGCCGCTCCTCGTCTTCTTCTGGATTTATTCTGCAAGTCAAGGTATGTGGTTGTTAAATAATGATGCTTTCAAATATACAGAGTGGATGTTTTTGATTCATTTCACATTTGTTTGCTTACTCTGCACTTGACATGCAGTGCTAAAAACATGTAGTGACATAATTTATACTTTTTTGGCTATTCCATTTATATGCACTCTGGATATCTGACTTCTGTCACAAAGAGAATCTGAGATATATTTCATACAGTAATTAAGAAAGATATTTTTTTTTGTGTAATGATATAATTGTCTGTCTCAATCAGAACGATGAAACAGACGTCAGTTCTGTGTCTGCTGCTCCTTCTGGGAACAAGCTCAGCTAACAACTATCGTAAGTAGGACCTGGCTGTATTGATATTAACGTTGTTATAAAACTTTTATGTCTCCCTGAACATTAATATGTTTGGATTTTTGTTGGAGTGATGTTTTTGGAGTTTCACAGCAGATGGCTGTTTTCACATTCATCTTAGTTTAAGATGTGAGAGTGCAAGAAGGATTTCTTCACACCCCATCATTACAAGGTCTTCACCGTAGTTTACCAACATTTTCTGAATCTCCCTCTGGAGGGAACACAGGGATTTTATTCTTTGCTGACCATTTACATGCACACAATCCTACAGTATATAACACGCTACAGGATGCGTTAAACCCCAAAAAGCATAAATGGGCCCATTAAAGGAATCTTTTCAGGCCAACGCGGAGGTAATTGTTATACATCTGTAAAAATAAAAACGATCTTTAAACCCACTCCCTCCTGCAAACAGCAGATAGACACAAATATAAACTCACTGGTGACAAAGCAAGATGTTTATCGCAGTAGTTGGTAGAAACCAAAAACAGAGGTGATTTCAAAAGTGAATATTTGAATTACCTTCATCAGATTGACATAACCAGCTCTGAATGAATCATTATGTGGCTGTGTAACTGCTACATGTTTAAGTTACCAACTGATTGCAAACAAGTTCCTCAACTTGAAAGGTGATGATGTGTCGATACCCAATTTGTGTTGGCTGCCCCCATAGCCGACTGGAACATTTTAATGCAGGTTTGTTATTTAAAAAATGTTTTACATCAAAAATAAATGTATTTCTACGATCTCATTCACAGAGAATGTGGCTTTACGTGGAAGAGCGAGCATGTCAGAGCGTATTGCCGACTTGTATGGATTTGCCTCCAATGCTATTGATGGAAACCATGAATCTAACTACTCTGCTGGATCATGCACTTCCACTGCTGAGATGGCCAACCCATGGTGGAGAGTGGACCTGCTGGAGTCCTACATCATCACCTCCATCATCATCATCAACAGAGGAGACTGCTGTGCAGGAAAGCTCAACATGGCAAGGGTTCACATCGGCAACTCTTTAGAAAACAACGGCGCTTCAAACCCAGTGTGAGTGATCGTAATGTTCTAGTTACAGGGTTTAATTGCTCTTTGAAATACTGCCTTAACTGTTCTTCTGGCAGGTCAAATGTTGGCTACAAAAGGATGTTATGAACTGCTTCCTCTGTCTCTTTTAGGGCCGGTATAATTTATCACATCCCTTCAGGCATGTCTTTAAAAATGACTTTTACCGAACATGTGGAGGGACGTTATGTGACCGTGGTTCTACGTGGTTTAAAGAAAACCCTAACACTCTGCGAGGTGGAAGTCTACGGTTACCGTGTTCCAACAGGTGAGATTTAAATATATTTGGAGAGCCAACAAAGATTTCATTTAGTAGGTAATCAATCTTGCTAATTGTCTATACAGCTGAAGTCAAACCACAGTTTGAACCACATTTGGCACATCTACTGTTTCTTAACTCTGACATCTAGTTTTGTGAGAAACAACAGCTACAGTAGGTTATTTTAAATTAACATCTTGAAAATGATTCATGGGCAATATCATTTGATAAATAATTGGAGGAAACAGAGGTGACAATTTGCAAATCTGTCATATATACTGTGGACACCGACATACTGCATAACAACATTTATTTCTACTGCTGCATCATTTATCATGATCCAATTAACAACTTTCCATGACCTTTTCCTGCATTTTCTTCTTTCCACTGGAAAGGGTATACTTTTGCAAATAGACAGAATTGTTGTTTTAGGATATACTAGAAAATATGCTATCTATATGAAGGAAAACTGAGTATCAATGCTGATGTTTGCAAATGTGTTCTGTTTGCAGGAGAGAACCTGGCACTCCAAGGAAAAGCCTCACAGTCATCACTGCATTCAACGGGCATTGCTTATAATGCCATTGATGGAAATCGTGCCAGCGACTGGGCAAAGGGTTCTTGTACACACACAGCACACGATTTGAACCCATGGTGGCGACTGGACCTGGGCAAAACCCACAACATATTTTCTGTTAAGATAACCAACTACAAAAATTGGCCTTTGCATATTAATGGAGCAGAGATAAAAATTGGAGATTCTCTTGATAACGATGGCAACAATAATCCGAGGTACAGTCCATTAACTTTATTACTACTGTAGCTCTTGTTATAATGGATATCACTATATTTGTAACCACTGTAAAGTATCTTGAAATTATGTGTGTCTTTAGAGAATCCATGTATTTAAATTGTCATTAACTATTTTCTTCTTCTGCTAGGTGTGCTGTGATCTCAAGCATCCCTGGAGGTTTCACGGAAACCTTCCAGTGTAACGGGATGGACGGTCGCTACGTCACCATCGTCATTCCTGGAAGAAGCGAGTACCTGACACTCTGTGAGGTGGAGGTGTACGGCTCCAGGCTGGATTAGGTCTGAATAGGTTCAAAACGTGTATCAATGACCTTTGATACAGCTGATGCTCTTGTACAGACTTGTGTTGCAATGATAGCTTAAGCTTCACTTGCTAGCTGCAGATGGATGGGAGTTCGAGCTTTGTATACCTGAGCCACTCCAACACAGAAAGGAATGTGACCTGCCAATCAACATGAACTATAACAGGATCATGTTTTAACCATTATGCTTTTTTATCGTGCATTTCAACTGTCTCATTCATCAATCAAGCAATCAAGTCAGACCCTGGACATTCAACACAATCATGTAACAATTCATTGAGATCATTCAGTTTCCCTGAGTCATGTCAGTAATCAGTGTGGACAATCAACAACGTTTTTAATGCTTTTATATTTTTATTGTATGTTTGTATAATATGTATCTTGCCAAATATTAGGAACAATAAAGGGTTAATGTTTTCCACTCTACTTTTTAATGTGTATTTCAACTGTCTAATTTATACAACATGTGGCATTGCGTGGAAAATAAATCATGGGATATTATAATCAACATTGCATTAAGGTCAATCATTTCTAATTATTAATGGAAATCATTATCAGTGAACAGAAATCTAAATATAAGTCCATCACAATTTGATCGCCTCCCTAGTTGTTTTTGTTTTTGTTTTACTTTTCAGCCCCAATATTATATTCCTGAGAATGCAAAGCACACACATTATCTAATCAAACCAGGAAGTTGTGACTTAAATGATCCACTTGGCAGTGTGTGGCATCTTTGTTTATCTGACCAGGAAGTACAACCAATTGTATCTGGTCTATAAACAGGTGATTGTATTCATGCTAACCTTTTCTATTCTGACACAATACTGCCTGGGCAGGGAGAAAAAGAAGCTTGACACAATAGTACACAAAGCATACAAAATGATTCGTACTTAGCTCTCATTTCTCTCTGAATTTTGGGAAGATAATTGTATTTAAGCATCAGGTTAATCACTTAAGGATTTAGCTCTATAGTTGACTTAGTACACTTTCTCAATTAGCTGCCATATTATATTATTTATGTTGATTATTTGACTAGTGTTGACCTGTGCCCTGTTTTATAACTGGATGCTTTTATATTTGAATGAGAAGTATCTGTTGACTTAGCAATACAGTTTTTCATTTCTTAATCCAAATGAGCTTTATCTGCCCACAAGGACAAGATAATCTGTGGGTAAATCATCAATGAATAACAACATGTACCATGATAAGATGTGCACATAAATATCACTGTGTGCTCCACATTAAATCATATCCATCAGCACGGCATAAACAGCAGCTCCTCGTCTTCCTCCGAGTTTATTTTGCAAGTCAAGGTAAGTTGTTTTAGTTGAATAATGATGCTTTTAAAAATTGGGCGGTCAACTTTAACGCGTTAGCATTACCACGTTTGAACACGGTTTTTAACTTGAATTACCTTGCATTGAAGAGGCAACAAAGCTGTCCAGTTTCCCTGCGTTGCACAGGAGGAGGATATTGCTCACAACATGATAGCAGCAGCAAGAATACGACCATACGAGCAAATGTGTAGCGCACATACAGAGGGCAATCACAGCGACTTTGATTATGCTTTAGCTATGGGAACATTTCCAGACATCATGACCTGAAAAAACTGAAACGTTGACTTGTGTTATGTCAACTAATTTCACATTGCTGTATTAGGTTAGTTGAAAGCAATAATATTAAGTTGAACCTAATGTTTTTTATTTAAACTTGATATTATTGCTTTAACCCTAATACAGCTATGTGAGATTTGTTTACATAATACATTTAATTAAAGTCAACGCTTCAGTTTTTCAGTGTGCAAATAATTCAATAATCTTTAAAACTAAGCTAAAATGTTATAATAAAGATTAACAAAAAAAGTATCTTTCTCGTTTGTTATGCATTTCTTTACTACAACACCACCTATGTATATTATCTCTCCCCAGAAGACAAGGAAATACTAGCATTTATTTAGTTGTGATTAATCATAATTAATCAGATTATTGTTGTGATTGATGCTAAATTATTAATTGACAGCACTATTTTAGATATACAGTTCTGAGGGTTGTTTACTCTGTGTTAAAATACATATAATAATCCCATTCATCACCAGTTATTCCTATACTTATAGTTAACTTCTGGAACATGACTGTTGTAGGTCTGAGATGAATTGCATAAAGTAATAATGATGACAATGTTCATTTCTTCAGGAGTTGACTCTATCGTGTGTCTCATCAAGAGCAATGACGCACAGTTCAGTTCTGCCTCTGCTGCTCCTGCTGGGCACGTGTTCGGCTTACACCTACCGTAAGTAGGATCTGGCTTTATCTATGGTGTCTTTGTTATAAAACACTGAAGTGGTTAACATGTGGTTTGCAATTTGTTACACCACTTGGATGTTTGGGCTTCAGTGTGCAGAATGATGCGTGTGCAGAGTTTGACTCTAGAAGGCTGTTTATACAATCAGAAAACAACCTCAGATTGTAAATCCTGCATGTACTGTATGAGATGATTTTGCGACATCACAACTACTTTGGAGACAAACATGGTGCAGTGTGTATACTAATGTGATAAGGAAACCTGAAGTCTCCAGAGGAAACATACAGCAGAACATTTACCTCTTGGTAGATTAGGAGACATCAAAACTGTTCTGTAGAGGATTTTTTCACAACATAGTGTCAATAAAATATCCAGTGCTGTTGAATGGGATGCTATTTATGTGTAAATTAGCGACTGATTGCAAACAACTTTATCCAATGAACTGAAAAGGAGGTGATGTGTTCCAATTTGTGTTGGCTGCCCCCAAGTGGCCAACATTTATTTATTTCAAATGTCTGATTTACAGGAAATGTGGCCTTGCGTGGAAAAGCTAGCCAGTCACTGAGTTATCCAGACTATTATGGAGATGCAGACAAAGCTATTGATGGAAACCGTGATTCTAACTATCTTGCTGGTTCATGCACCGCTACTGTTGAGATGACCAACCCATGGTGGAGAGTGGACCTGCTGGAGTCCTATATCGTCACCTCTATCATCATCACCAACAGAGGAGACAGGTATCCAGAAAGGCTTAACGGGGCAGAGGTTCACATCGGCAACTCTTTGCAAGACAATGGCGCGGCAAACCCAGTGTGAGTGGCTTCAATGATTTCTTGATAACATCTAGATAAATTCGCTGTCTAAAGTAATGTCTCTAAAGTGTTAGAATAATGTATGACTCTGTGTTGCTACCTTTTTAGCACTGCAGTTATTTCAACTTCATGTATTTCCTCCTTTTCCTTTCTTTTAGGGTTGGTGTGATTTCTCATATCCCTGCAGGCAGGTCTTTAAACATTACTTTGACCAAACTTGTAGAGGGACGATACGTGACGGTTGCTCTACCTGGTTCAGGAAGACTCCTTACACTCTGTGAGGTGGAAGTGTACGGGTACCGTGCTCCAACAGGTAGGAATTGATAACAAAGCCACTTAATACTTCATTTTCGGGGTGATAAATCCTCATCTATCCATCTATCTATCCTCATCTTTCTATACAGCTTACAGCACACCAGAGTTAAAACTCCATTAACTTGAATGAACAACAAAGGCAAAATGCAGAGCATCATGAAAACTATTTATCAATGCTGATGTTTGCAAATGTGTTCTGTTTGCAGGAGAGAACCTGGCACTCCAAGGAAAAGCCACACAGTCATCGGCGCGTAATTTTGATGGCACAGCTTATAATGCCATTGATGGAAATCGTTTAAGTGCCTGGGGCCAGGGTTCTTGTACCCACACAAAGGCCGACTTTAACCCCTGGTGGCGACTGGACCTCGGCAAAACCCACAAAATATTTTCTGTTAAGATAACCAACAATCTAGATCGTACGCCAACACGACTTAATGGAGCTGAGATCCGTATTGGAGATTCTCTTGAAAACAATGGCAACAACAATCCCAGGTACAGTCCTTTAACTTTAATACTACTGTAACAAATAGTTTGGCTTTGATGAATATCTGTCATTGCTTTGGTTTTGAACAACCAATGTTTGCTCCATAATACAACCATATATTGGTTTGGCAATACTTAAGTAACTAATTTCTATGAAATTATTTTTACGGTAAGAGTTTTAATTAATTCAAATGATCTTTCAATGAGTTAACAATCACATTTTTTTCTTCTGCTAGGTGTGCTGTGATCTCAAGCATCCCTGGAGGTTTCACGGAAACCTTCCAGTGTGACGGGATGGACGGTCGCTACGTCAACGTCGTCATTCCTGGGAGAAGCGAGTACCTGCTTCTCTGTGAGGTGGAGGTGTACGGCTCCAGACTGGATTAGGTCTGAGGAGTTTCTATGTGCAACAATGATATTTGACATTGATGTTAAGCTGATGCTCCACATGCTGGTTTTTAAATCAAAGCTTAAGCTTCACTTGCTAGCTGCAGATGGATGGGAGTTTCAGCTTGGTAAACTTGATAATGAAAAAGTAATCAAACTTGCCAAATATTATGAACATTAAAGGTAGGGTAGGTAAGTTTGAGAAACCGGCTCGAGATACACTTTTTGTTATATTCCATCGAATGCTCTTAACATCCCGATAGCAATGAATATCTTAAGTGCTTTGACAAAAAATCCATTAAAAAATGTCATCTGTGGAAGCCGTAGTACTGTAAAAAGCACGACCAATCATTTTAGCCGACCCGGCTAAAATAACTGGATGGCCTACCTGCCTGTCAGCCTTCCATCTGTGCACAAACTTATCTCATGCCCTCATTGGTCATGTGCGCGTTCGTGTGTGTTGGAGGAGGGGCTCTATAAGGAAGTGGCAGATTTTCTCCGGCTGTGTATTTTCAAATTCTAGCGATCTCGAGCCGGTTTCTCAAACTTACCTCTCCTACCTTTAACAGGTTAATTAATGTGTATTTCAACTGTCTAATTTATACAACATGTGGCATTGCGTGGAAAATAAATCAAGGGACATTATAATCAACATTGCATTAAGGTCAATCATTTCTAATTATTAATGGCCATCATTATCAGTGAACAGAAATCTAAATATTTCTTTATGCTCTTATATTTGTATTGTTCGTGTGTATAATGCGTAATGCGTTTTTTCTTATTAGAATTAATGAACTACAACTACAAATGATGTGTAACAGAATGAAAATAACTGATCTTTGAATAACATTTGACTAAATTAGTAAAAAGCGTCATGTTACGGTTTTGAATTTATGTTTTCATTTTCCACCTTTGTTTTGAAATGTTTTCCTCCTTGGCCCGTTCTCATGTCTTCAAATGTTCCTCCTCGACTCCCCTCCTCGACTCCTATCCTCGAGACTTAGTCCCGCCCACAGGAGATGCGAGCGGAGGAGCCGAGGAGGGGAACCGAGGAGAGAGGAGGGGAAGCAGCAGGCGGTTAGAGAAATGAGAACTCCTCTCCTCTGAGCGGTCATTTTAAAGAGACGTCCATTAATGATGACAGGAGGCACAGCAGCCCTCTGTCTGATGGACAGATGTGTTCATGACGACTTATATATTTACTTTTAATTCATTCACAGTGCGGTATAATGAGACAATAACAGGCTACAGATGCGGACACACACACACACACACACACACACACACACACACACACACACACACACACACACACACACACACACACACACACACACACACACACACACACACACACACACACACACACACACACACACACACACACACACCACACACACACACACACACACACACACACACATATATTTATATAAATATATACAATTTCAGAATCAAACAGAGCACTCTCATAATAACGTAACACTATCAGAGACTGGATATATCCCCCCCCCCTCTCTGGTCGCTACAATGAGGGAAATAAATTACGGGCCAAAAGTTTTATTTACAAGTATTACAAGTAAGCAGAGGACACCAAACCAACTGAGACCTGTCTGTCTGCTGCATCTACGCACACACTGTACCACACACACCTACACCACACACACGCACCTACAGCTCCTAAAGCATATAATCAGGCTACAGCCGTTGTGTATTTTATTTTGTGAAGCACTAAATGGTTTTAGAAAAATATCGACTTTGTTTGTAGATATCTACTAAACTAAAGCAAATAAAGAGAGTAGGCATGTTATACTGAGTGATATGATATATATTATACACACTGCTCTGCTTTCTGCACGGACCTCACAGCTGTTCTCACTGTAAACATCGCGTCGCGATGAAAGCAGTTAATAAAATAATATCCAGGGGATGCATGCAGAGCTGTCATTGGCTGAGATCAGTCCGGCCGTGCGTCACGACTCTTTGAAACATCTCTGTTCCCGGAAATGCATCCACGAAGGAGCCGTGGAGGACCGTGGAGGACCCATCAGTGTATCCTCGGTTATAGCTCCTCCAGAGAGCCTCCTCGACGCTCGATGCTCGGTCCTCGATGTGCATTTCGAGAAATGAGATGTCCTTCAACATGGCGCGCTAAAATTCATTTCCGGGTCACTACCGGAGGAGTCGAGGAGTCGAGGAGTCGAGGAGTCGAGGAGTCGAGGAGTCGAGGAGTCGAGGAGTCGAGGAGTCGAGGAGTCGAGGAGTCGAGGAGTCGAGGAGTCGAGGAGTCGAGGAGTCGAGGATGGGACATTTGATGACATGAGAAAGGGCCCTTGTGTCTTCTCTGATCCTTCTTCCTGTGTTTGCCTTCCTGTCGTTAGTTTCCCTGGTGTGTCTGATTGTTTGATTGTGTTCACCTGTTGCCCTTGTGTTTCTGCCTCCCTTACCCCAGCTGTGTCTTGTCTTGTGATTACCCCTCTCTGTATTTAGTCTTGTCTTCCCCTGTGTGCCTTGTCGGTTCATTGTTGGTTTTTCCTGTCTCCCTCCATGTTGGTCACGATCGTTTTTTGGTGATGCTATTCCTAGTGCTACCCATGTTATCCATGCCATGCTTTTTTGCTCATCAGCTTTGTAAATAAAGCTCATTTTTGTTTCTAGACCTGTTACCTCTTTTTGTAGTCTGCATTTGGGTCCTACCTTTTCCACGCTACCTAACACGTCAGTTATGTTAGCAAAATCTGGAGGGTGTGGTTCAGTGCGTTGATCTTCCAGGAGCACTGGTTCAATCCCACTGCAGTCAGCATGTTGTAGTACCCTAAGACCCTTCACCCCAAATTGCTCCTGTGGGGACTGCCCATAGTACTGAATGTATGTAAGTCGCTTTGGATAAAAGTGTCTAACAAGTGACATGTAATGATCGGATAATTTGCACTTAAAATAAACTGTGTGCATACCCTGAAACACATATTTCTCCATGAATGTATACCAAAGCCAAGCTGCATCCTTCAAGTTGCAAAGTGCCTCTTCAATGCTGTTTCAACTGTTCCATTTATAGAGAATGTGATATTGTAAGAGTGACCAAGTTAGTTAGTTGGCATAGAGCTCATGTTAAATCAGCCAATACATTAAGGTCAATACGTTTTCTTATTATATTCATCCATGCCAATCAATGCGCACATAAGTCCATCACATTTTGATCGCTTCTCTAGTTGTTTCTTAGGCCTTTTCAGCCCCAATATTATATTCCTGAGAATGCAAAGTACACACATTATCTAATCAAACCAGGAAGTTGTGACTTAAATGATCCACTTGGCAGTGTGTGGCATCTTTGTTTATCTGACCAGGAAGTACAACCAGTTTTATCTGGGAATTTAGAGTAAACCGGGAGCTCACAACAAAAACAAGAGATATTATATGAGCAATGTCTGGATTGAACTTTTGCACGGCTCTCTTGCTTTTGCTGATACTAGACTCTTCCTCCAGATGTTTCCCTGTCACCTGTCTGTTTAAGGCCAGCAGGTGGAGCTGTTTCACACAATCTCCTCTTTTTTAAAGTTCACAGCACCATCTTCATCTTCAAACAAAGATCACTAGAGATTGTTTTTAGTGAGGCATGCAAAGAAGTGTAGGCTTATTGAGGAAGGGGATTATTCAGGTCTATAAACAGGTGATTGTATTCATACTAACCTTTTGTATTCTGACACAATACTGCCTGGGCAGGGAGAAAAAGAAGTTGGACACAATTGTACACAAAGCATACAAAATGATTCGTACTTAGCTCTCATTTCTCTCTGGATTTTGGGAAGATAATTGTATTTAAGCATCAGGTTAATCACTTAAGGATTTAGCTCTATAGTTGACTTAGTACACTTTCTCAATTAGCTGCCATATTATATTATTTATGTTGATTATTTTGACTAGTGTTGACCTGTGCCCTGTTTTATAACTGGATGCTTTTATATTTGAATGAGAAGTATCTGTTGACTTGGCAATAAAGTGTTTCATTTCTTAATTCAAATGAGCTTTATCTGCCCACAAGGACAAGGTAATCTGTGGGTAAATCATCAATGAATAACAACATGTACCATGATATGATGTGCACATAAATATCACTGTGTGCTCCACATTAAATCATATCCATCGGCTCTGCATAATCAGCGGCTCCTCGTCTTCCTCCGAGTTTATTTTGCAAGTCAAGGTAAGTTGTTTTAGTTGAATAATGATGCTTTTAATAAACTTGATATTATTGCTTTAACCCTAATACAGCTATGTGAGATTTGTTTACATAATATATTTAAATAAAGTCAACGTTTCAGTTTTTCAGTGTGCAAATAATTCATTAATCTTTAAAACTAAGCTAAAATGTTATAAAGATTACAAAAAAATTCTCTTTCTCGTTTGTTATGCATCTCTTTACTACAACACCTCTATGTATATTATCTCTCCCCAGAAGACAAGGAAATACTAGCATTTATTTAGTTGTGATTAATCAGATTATTATTGTGATTGACGCTATTAAATTATTGAATTGACAGCACTATTTTAGATAGTTCTGAGGGTTGTTTACTCTGTGCTAAAATGCATATAATGATCCCATTTATCACCAGTTATTCCTATACTTATAGTTAACTTCTGGAACATGACTGTTGTAGGTCTGAGATGAATTGCATAAAGTAATAATGATGACAATGTTCATTTCTTCAGGAGTTGACTCTATCGTGTGTCTCATCAAGAGCAATGACGCACAGTTCAGTTCTGCCTCTGCTGCTCCTGCTGGGCACGTGTTCGGCTTACACCTACCGTAAGTAGGATCTGGCTTTATCTATGGTGTCTTTGTTATAAAACACTGAAATGGTTAACATGTTAAGGTGAGGTTAACATCGCCGTACATAATGGCAGCCCACTGCTCCTAACACTAGGATGGGTCAAATGCAGAGAAACCATTTTGTTACATAGAACCTGTACTACGTAATGACAATAAATGGAATCTTCTTCTTCTTCTTATGTGGTTTGCAATTTGTTACACCACTTGGATGTTTGGGCTTCAGTGTGATGACTTGTGTGCAGAGTTTGACTCGAGAAGGCTGTTTTTACAATCAGAAAATAACCTCAGATTGTAAATCCTGCAGAGATGATTTTGCGACATCACAACTACTTTGGAGACAAACATGGTGCAGTATGTATACTAATGTGATAAGGAAACCTGAAGTCTCCAGAGGAAACATACAGCAGAGAACTGACCCCTTGGTAAATAAGGCAATTGTTTGAAAAAGAAAATGCACGTTTGTACATTACAGATTTTTCATGGAGGCTTAAAGAAATATTATTGTTGAAAAGCTCTATCAGACAACATTTGACCAATCAAAACTTGTCTGAGGAGGATTTTTTCACGACATAGTGTCAATAAAATATCCAGTGCTGTTGAATGGGATGCTATTTATATGTAAATTAGCGACTGATTGCAAAAAAATGTACCCAATGAACTCAAAAGGAGGTGATATGTCAATGTTGTGTGGCCAAAGTGGCCAAAATAAAAAAAATTCAGGTTTGTTGATTACATTTTTTTTTTTCCATCCACCAAATATTTATTTATTTTAAATGTCTCATTCACAGAAAATGTGGCCTTGCGTGGAAAAGCAAGCCAGTCAGGGCGTCATCCAGACCATTATGGAGATGCAGACAAAGCTATTGATGGAAGCCGTGAATCTAACTATTATCATGGATCATGCAGCGCTACTACTGCGATGACCAACCCCTGGTGGAGAGTGGACCTGCTGGAGTCCTACATCGTCACCTCCATCATCATCACCAACAGAGCAGACTGTTGTGCAGAAGGGCTCAACGGGGCAGAGGTTCACATCGGCAACTCTTTGCAAGACAATGGCGCGGCAAACCCAGTGTGAGTGATCGCTCAGATGTCTTGATTACAAGGTTCACGCCAAGAAATAATTTAGCAGCATCCAGATCGTGATAAATTCGCTGTCTAAAAGAATGTCTCTAGAAAGTGTTAGAATAATGTATGACTCTGTGTTGCTACCTTTCTAGTACTGCAGTTATTTCAGCTTTATGTATTTCTTCCTTTTCCTTTCTTTTAGGGTTGGTGTGATTTCTCATATCCCTGCAGGCAGGTCTTTAAAAATGACTTTGACCAAACTTGTAGAGGGACGATACGTGACGGTGGTTGTACCTGGTTCAGGGAAATCCGTTATACTCTGTGAGGTGGAAGTGTACGGGTACCGTGCTCCAACTGGTGAGAATTGATAACAAAGCCACTTAATACTTTATTATCGGAGTGATAAATCCTCATCTATCCATCTATCTATCCTCATCTGTCTATACAGCTGCAATCACACCAGAGTTAAAACTCCATTAACTTGAATGAACAACAAAGACTAAATGTAAAGCATCATGAAAACTAATTGTCAATGCTGATGTTTGCAAATGTGTTCTGTTTGCAGGAGAGAACCTGGCACTCCAAGGAAAAGCCTCACAGTCATCACCTACTTCTTTTCAAGGCATAGCTTATAATGCCATTGATGGAAATCGTGCAAGTGCCTGGGGCCAGGGTTCTTGTACCCACACAAAGGCTGACTTTAACCCCTGGTGGCGTCTGGACCTCGGCAAAACCCACAAAATTAATTCTGTTAACATAACCAACACTCTAGATTCTGTCCCACAACGACTTAATGGAGCTGAGATCCGAATTGGAGATTCTCTTGAAAACAATGGCAACAACAACCCCAGGTAGTTCACAGTCCTTTAACTGTATTACTACTGTGGCTTAAAGTTTGGGTTTGATGAATATCTGTTGCTGGTTTTGTTTTGAACAACCAATGTTAACTGCATAATACAACAATATATTGATTTGGCAATACTTAAGTAACTAATTTCTATGAAATGATTTGTACCGTAAACGTTTTCATTCATTCAAATGATCTTTAAATTAGTTAATAAACAAATGTCTTCTTCTGCTAGGTGTGCTGTGATCTCAAGCATCCCTGGAGGTTTCACGGAAACCTTCCAGTGTAACGGGATGGACGGTCGCTACGTCAACATCGTCATTCCTGGAAGAAGCGAGTACCTGACACTCTGTGAGGTGGAGGTGTACGGCTCCAGGCTGGATTAGGTCTGAATAGGTTCAAAACGTGTATCAATGACCTTTGATACAGCTGATGCTCTTGTTCAGACTTGTGTTGCAATGATAGCTTAAGCTTCACTTGCTAGCTGCAGATGGATGGGAGTTCGAGCTTTGTATACCTGAGCCACTCCAACACAAAAAGTAATGTGACCTGCCAACCAACATGAACTATAACAGGATCAGGTTTTTCCATTCTGCTTTTTTATCGTGCATTTCAACTGTCTCATTCATCAATCAAGCAATCAAGGCACACCCTAAAGGGGACATTCAACACAATCATGTAACAATTCATTAAGATCATTCAGTTTCCCTGAGTCATGTCAGTAATCAGTGTGAAAAATTAACAACTTTTTAAATGCTTTTATATTTGATTTGTATGTGTGTTTAATATGTATCTTGCTAAATATGAGGAACAATAAAGGGTTAATGTTTTTCACTCTACTTTTTAATGTGTATTTCAACTGTCTAATTTATACAACATGTGGCATTGCGTGGAAAATAAATCAAGGGACATTATAATCAACATTGCATTAAGGTCAATCATTTCTAATTATTAATGGCCATCATTATCAGTGAACAGAAATCTAAATATTTCTTTATGCTCTTATATTTGTATTGTTCGTGTGTATAATGCGTAATGCGTCTTTCTTATTAGAATTAATGAACTACAACTACATTATGTTGGAAATGTTGTGTAACAGAATGAAAATAACTGATCTTTGAATAACATTTGACTAAATTAGTAAAAAGCGTCAGTTATGTTAGCAACATCTGGAGGGTGTGGCTCAGTGGGGTAGTGCATTGATCCTCGGATCAGGGGAGCACTGGTTCAATCCCACTGCAGTCAGCATGTCGTTGTGTCCCTAAGACGCTTCACCCCAAATTGCTCCTGTGGGGATTGCCCATAGTACTGAATGCATGTAAGTCGCTTTGGATAAAACGTCTAACAAGTGACATGTAATGTAATAATCGAATAATTTGCACTTAAAATAAACTGTGTGCATACCCTGAAACACATATTTCTGCATGAATGTATACCAAAGCCAAGCTACATCCTTCAAGTTGCAAAGTGCATCTTCAATGCAGTTTAAACTGTTTCATTTATAGAAAATGTGGCATTGCATGTAAGAGTGACCAAGTCAGTTAGTTGGCATAGAGCTCATCTTAAATCAGCCAATACATTAAGGTCAATACGTTTACATATAATTATATTCATCCATGCCAATCAATGTGCACATAAGTCCATCACATTTTGATCGCTTCTCTAGTTGTTTTTACTTTTTTTTAACTTTTCAGCAGCAACCATATGTTCCTGAGAATGCAAAGTACACACATCATCTAATCAAACCAGGAAGTTGTGACTTAAATGATCCACTTGGCAGTGTGTGGCATCTTTGTTTATCTGACCAGGAAGTACAACCAGTTTTATCTGGGAACTTAGAGTAAACCGCGAGCTCACAACAAAAACAAGAGACATTATATGAGTCTGTTAAGCAATGTCTGGATTGAACTTTTGCACGGCTCTCTTGCTTTTGCTGATACTAGATGCAGATGTTTCCCTGTCACCTGTCTGTTTAAGGCCAGCAGGTGGAGCTGTTTCACACAATCTCCTCTTTTTTAAAGTTCACAGCACCATCTTCATCTGCAAACAAAGATCACTAGAGATTGTTTTTAGTGAGGCATGCAAAGAAGTGTAGGTTTATTGAGGAAGGGGATTATTCAGGTCTATAAACAGGTGATTGTATTCATGCTAACCTTTTCTATTCTGACACAATACTGCCTGGGCAGGGAGAAAAAGAAGCTGGACACAATTGTACACAACGCATACAAAATGATTCGTACTTAGCTCTCATGTCTCTCTGAATTTTGGGAAGATAATTGTATTTAAGCATCAGGTTAATCACTTAAGGATTTAGCTCTATAGTTGACTTAGTACACTTTCTCAATTAGCTGCCATATTATATTATTTATGTTGATTATTTTGACTAGTGTTGACCTGTGCCCTGTTTTATAACTGGATGCTTTTATATTTGAATGAGAAGTATCTGTTGACTTAGCAATAAAGTGTTTCATTTCTTAATCCAAATGAGCTTTATCTGCCCACAAGGACAAGATAATCTGTGGGTAAATCATCAATGAATAACAACATGTACCATGATAAGATGTGCACATAAATATCACTGTGTGGTCCACATGAAATCATATCCATCTGCACTGCATAAACAGCGGCTCCCTGTCCCCTCGTCTTCCTCCGAGTTTATTTTGCAAGTCAAGGTAAGTTGTTTTAGTTGAATAATGATGCTTTTAAAAATTGGGCGGTCAACTTTAACGCGTTAGCATTACCACGTTTGAACACGGTTTTTAACTTGAATTACCTTGCATTGAAGAGGCAACAAAGCTGTCCAGTTTCCCTGCAGTTGCACAGGAGCAGGATATTGCTCACAACATGATAACAGCAGCAAGAATACGACCATACGAGCAAATGTGTAGCGCACATCATACAGAGGGCAATCACAGCGACTTTGTTTAGGCTTTAGCTATGGGAACATTTCCAGACATCATGACCTGAAAAAACTGAAACGTTGACTTGTGTTAATGTCAACTAATTTCACATTGCTGTATTAGGTTAGTTGAACGCAATAATATTAAGTTGAACCTAATGTTTTTTATTTAAACTTGATATTATTGCTTTAAACCTAATAAAGCTATGTGAGATTTGTTTACATAATACATTTAATTAAAGTCAACGTTTCAGTTTTATCAGTGTGCGAATAATTCAATAATCTTTAAAACTAAGCTAAGATGTTATAATAAAGTAAAAAAAACCCTCTGATTTCTCTTATCATTTGCTATCCATTTCTTTACTACAACACCACCTATGTATATTATCTCTCCCCAGAAGACAAGGAAATACTAGCATTTATTTAGTTGTGATTAATCATAATTAATCAGATTATTATTGTGATTGACGCTATTAAATTATTGAATTAATTGACAGTACTATTTTAGATATACAGTTCTGAGGGTTGTTTACTCTGTGCTAAAATACATATAATAATCCCATTTATCACCAGTTATTCCTATACTTATAGTTAACTTCTGGAACATGACTGTTGTAGGTCTGAGATGAATTGCATAAAGTAATAATGATGACAATGTTCATTTCTTCAGGAGTTGACTCTATCGTGTGTCTCATCAAGAGCAATGACGCACAGTTCAGTTCTGCCTCTGCTGCTCCTGCTGGGCACGTGTTCGGCTTACACCTACCGTAAGTAGGATCTGTCTTTATCTATGGTGTCTTTGTTTGGTGCCAATTTGTGACACCACTTGGATGTTTGGGCTTCAGTGTGATGACTTGTGTGCAGAGTTTGACTCTAGAAGGCTGTTTTTACAATCAGAAAAGAACCTCAGATTGTAAATCCTGCAAGTATGAGATGATTTTGCGACATCACAACTACTTTGGAGACAAACATGGTGCAGTATGCCTACTAATGTGATAAGGAAACCTGAAGTCTCCAGAGGAAATATACAGCAGAGAACTGACACCTTTGTATATAAGGTAATTGTTTGAAAAAGAAAATGCATGTTTGTAGATTACAGATTTTTCATGGAGGCATAAAGAAATATTATTGTTGAAAAGCTCTATCAGACAACAATTGACCAATCAAAACGTGTGTGTGTTGTGGATTTTTTCACGACATCGTGTCAATAAAATATCCAGTGCTGTTGAATGGGATGATATTTATGTGTAAATTAGTGACTGATTGCAAACAACTTTACTCAATGAACTCAAAAGGAGGTGATATGTCAATGCTGTGTTCACAATTTGTGTTGGCTGCCCTCAAGTGGCCAACATTATTGTTTTCAGGTTCATTGATTACATTTTTTTTTTCCATCTACCAAATATTTATTTATTTATTTTAAATGTCTGATTTACAGGAAATGTGGCCTTGCGTGGAAAAGCAAGCCAGTCACTGCGTAATCAAAACCATCCTGGAGATGCAGACAACGCTATTGATGGAAACCGTGATTCTAACTATCTTGCTGGTTCATGCACCGCTACTAATGCGCAGACCAACCCCTGGTGGAGAGTGGACCTGCTGGAGTCCTACATCGTCACCTCCATCATCATCACCAACAGAGGAGACTGCTGTGCAGAAAGGCTCAACGGGGCAGAGGTTCACATCGGCAACTCTTTGAAAGACAATGGTGCGGCAAACCCAGTGTGAGTGATCGCTCAGATGTCTTGATTACAAGGTTCACCCCAAGAAATAATTTAGCAGCATCCAGATCATGATACATTCGCTGTCTAAAAGAATGTCTTTTGAAAGTGTTAGAATAATGTATGACTCTGTGTTGCTACCTTTCTAGTACTGCAGTTATTTCAGCTTTATGTATTTCCTCCTTTTCCTTTCTTTTAGGGTTGGTGTGATTTCTCATATCACTGCAGGCAGGTCTTTAAAAATGACTTTTACCAAACTTGTAGAGGGACGATACGTGACGGTTGCTCTACTTGGTTCAGGAAGGGTCCTTACACTCTGTGAGGTGGAAGTGTACGGGTACCGTGCTCCAACTGGTGAGAATTGATAACAAGGCCACTAAATACTTTATTTTCCAGGTGATAAATCCTCATCTATCCATCTATCTATCCTCATCTGTCTATACAGCTGACATCACACCAGAGTTAAAACTCCATTAACTTGAATGAACAACAAAGGCAAAATGCATCATGAAAACTAATTGTCAATGCTGATGTTTGCAAATGTGTTCTGTTTGCAGGAGAGAACCTGGCACTCCAAGGAAAAGCCTCACAGTCATCACTGCATTCAACGGGCATTGCTTACAATGCCATTGATGGAAATCGTGCAAGTGCCTGGGGCCAGGGTTCTTCTTCCTGCACAAAGGCTGACTTTAACCCCTGGTGGCGCCTGGACCTCGGCAAAACCCACAAAATTAATTCTGTTAACATAACCAACACTCTAGATTCTGTCCCACAACGACTTAATGGAGCTGAGATCCGAATTGGAGATTCTCTTGAAAACAATGGCAACAACAACCCCAGGTAGTTCACAGTCCTTTAACTGTATTACTACTGTGGCTTAAAGTTTGGGTTTGATGAATATCTGTTGCTGGTTTTGTTTTGAACAACCAATTGCTCCATAATACAACCAGATATTGGTTTGGCAATACTTAAGTAACTCATTTCTATGAAATTATTTGTACCGTAAAAGTTTTCATTCATTCAAATTATCTATCAATTAGTTAACAAACCCATTTTCCTTCTGCTAGGTGTGCTGTGATCTCAAGCATCCCTGGAGGTTTCACGGAAACCTTCCAGTGTAACGGGATGGACGGTCGCTACGTCAACATCGTCATTCCTGGAAGAAGCGAGTACCTGACACTCTGTGAGGTGGAGGTGTACGGCTCCAGGCTGGATTAGGTCTGAATAGGTTCAAAACGTGTATCAATGACCTTTGATACAGCTGAGGCTCTTGTTCAGACTTGTGTTGCAATGATATAGCTTAAGCTTCACTTGCTAGCTGCAGGTGGATGGGAGTTCGAGCTTTGTATACCTGAGCCACTCACATGAACTATAACAGGATAATGTCTTTCCATTCTGCTTTTTTATCGTGCATTTCAACTGTCTCATTTATAAGATATATGGCATTGTGTGGAGAAGCAATCAAGTCAGACCCTAATGGGGACACTATAATCATGTAACAATTCATTAAGATCATTCAGTTTCACTGAGTCATGTCAGTAATCAGTGTGGACAATTAAAAACGTTTTAATGCTTTTATATTTTTATTGCATCTGTGTATAATATGTATCTTCCTTTTTTGTACTCAACAAGTTGCAGAAATAAAACGATGTGGCGCAAATACGATACTTTGTTTGTTGTTGTCTTTTAAATAACACACTTCTGGCATATACAAATATTCTACATAGCTTAATTGTTTTTGTTGCTGCAGTTTACATTTCTCCAGATGCAAATGCATAAACTGAACTACTGTATGTGTTCTGTTTTGTCTTGTTTTTCTTAAGTAGAATAAATGGCTATAACTGCATTTGGTTGTGCAACCCTGTGTTGAAGAATAAAAAAAAGGATTTGAGTAACATTTGACTCAATAGGTCAAGGTTCAAGGTTCAAGGTTCTTTATTGTCAAACTGACATAGCTACAGAGTAATTATGTTGTTGAAAATCTTATGTCACAGGCTTCTCCAACAATGCAACATAATAACAATACAGATAGCAAGAGCTTCTTTCCAACTGAAACTGTATGAACACTCTGAAATACATGTTTCTCCATGTATGCAGAAATAAATAAAAAACAACTATTATTAAAGTTATATCTTATGCATAAAAAGTACAAGTTACTCTAGCTTGTGATGACCTTGTTTCTGTTATTTCTGGACACCCTAAACACATTTCCTTGCAACCAATTTACACAAAGTTTCAACTGATGAGTTAAATATTCATCTCAATACAGCCATGGTCAACACGTGGTTTAACTGCATTCATTAAAATGAAGAAACGGCTAATTGCATGCATTTCCTGTTCCTAATGGAGCTTTCCTCTGCAAAGACACATCTATTAAAGCTACATGTGTATTAACTCCAACATAAAATACAGTCAGACTCACCGGCCTGTTAACATCTTTAGAAATATTCATATACGATATAAATTGGCAAGTCATAAGAAGATGGCAGTTATTTAAAATGTTAATGAGATTCTGTGTAGAGTTGCAGAAATAACAACTTTGTGAAACCATTCCAGTTAATTTTATGTTGCGTTGAATCCTTCTATACAAAAACAATTTAAACATTTGCTAATGCTAGCTGGTGGTGCATCCTTCAAGTGTCAAAATGTATCTCCACAACTTTACTAGACCCCTCCGTTGTTTTCTGCAGTTTCATCTCACCTCAACATATTGTGTTAATTTGGCCAACACATTAAGGTAAATCATATTTCATATAATTATTCATTTATGTCGATCAGAGTGTACAGAAGTCCATCAGATTGATCATCTTTATCTTATTATAATGAAAGTGGATCACAATCGCATAATATCAAAATCCTCACACACAATGCATCGAGGTCAATCAGTTTTCATAATATTCATGTAAATCATTGTTGACAGCAATTCATCACATTTTCAGTGCTTCTCCAGTTTTCCTTTGTATATTTATTGACCTATTCTTCCTTTGTCCTCATGTGGTTTCAAACATAATAGTTTTGTTATGCCTTTTCAGCAGCAATATAACCATCCTGAGAATGCCAAGTACACTCATTACCTTATCAAGCCGGGAAGTTAGGCCCAATGAGATCCACCTGGCAGCAAACCAACAACATCAATATTTTCTAACTCTGGTGTTTTATTTTATCTGACCAGGAAGTACGACCATATTTTTGGGGAATTGACAATAAACAGCAAGTGAACAAAACTGTTGCGCCATGTTTTAAAAATAAGGCGTAGCTTATAAAAGCAAAGTCAACTTTAATGTCAATCTTTCAGTTTGTGAGAGATCGGAATAACGTTTCCCAACAATCCCGAATACAAAAATACAATTATACAATTATACAAATATGTATAAAATATGTATATCCGATATATACACAATCAACAGACACATATGCAAACCTGCATATTTATATTATTGCACATTGCATTCTACATCAAACAATTGTTTCAACTAAGCTTAAGGTAATACACTTCACACTTTATCAGTTGGCTGTTATATTCTGTATATATATTTATGTATTAACTAATGTAATAATATGTCTATCTGTCTGTCTGTCTGTCTGTCTGTCTGTCTGTCTGTCTGTCTGTCTGTCTGTCTGTCTGTCTGTCTGTCTGTCTGTCTGTCTGTTATCATTAATATAACATTGTAAATAGTTGCCGATCCCTGCTTGATACACATAATAAGCCTTATCTACACACAAGGACAAAAAAAAGCCATAAATGGTCAATCCTCAATAAACGACAGCATGTGTCACAATAAGATGTGCACATAAATATCCCTGTGATGTCCTATTCGAATCACATTCATCAACACAACATAGAGAGCAACTCCTCGTCTTCTTCTGAATAAAAGGTATGTGGTTGCTGAATACTGATGCTTTTAGATATATACAGTAGTTTGAAGGGTTGTTTCATATTTGTGAACTTACTCTGCACTGACATTTAAGGATTCACACATGTATTGATATTGAGTCATGTAATTAAAGGAGAGGTGTCATGCTTTTCGGGTTATTACCCGTCCCCTTGTGTGTTATGAAGGTTTGTATGTATGTAAACTAAACGGTGTGCAGAGTCAAAACCCTCAAAGTACACCCTGCAGCGAGTAAAACTCTAACACAGAAAATACCTCCCCAAAACGCCTCGTTGGAGATACGTCATTGTCCATTTGATTCTTCCGGGACGGCATGATGTCAAGCCGTACCCGGAACGAAATGGACCAATCCGTGGAGCCGTTACGTTACGTCCGCGGAGCCGTTACGTTAAGCCCCCACTGATTGGTCCAAATTGACCAATCCACGGACTTCCTCACACACACATCTGTGTGCAGGGAGCAGGCAGCTGAGCAGGCAGTGATTCACAACGTCCCGACCAATCAGAGCACACTGTGCTCACAGGGAGGGTGGGGGCTGGAGCTTTGGGAGCTACAACGAGCCGTTAAAGGCAGAGAGTGAAATTCAGTGAATACACGTAGTTTACAGAGATGCTGTTTGAGAAACCAATGTGAGTTTGGAAAAATGCACAGTATAAATCTATTTTAGTAGACCTCAACAATGGAATTATGATCAGTGGAAATGGCCATGACACCTCTCCTTTAATACTTTTATGTTTGTCACCATCAGAGCAATGACACACATTTCAGTTCTGCTTCTCCTGCTGGGGACGAGCTCAGCTTACACCTATCGTAAGTAGGATCTATCTTTACATGTAATATCTTTGTTATAAAACATTATATTTTAATGTGATCTGGCCGAAGCTGCTTCAAGTACTACATAAAAGAACAATGAGAAATAAGGGCTCTATTTTAGAGATCTAAAGTACATAGTCTTAAGTGCATTTTGAGTGTGTCCTACTTTTACAAATGTGTTGTTTAACTTCCTAAAACTGGGTACAAAGTAAAGTTCAACGGGCAAGGGGTTTGTATTTAGTCTCTTGATTAGGCTATTTAAATGCATATTTTGGGCAAAACAATAATTTTGCCAATTTGGAAAATTTGGAAAAGCAAACTGAGGAAAAGGTTTGCATATTCACAAAATGAGACATCAGCCTGAAATGCTGCCGTTTAGAGGACCTGAACATGTCGGTTTGAGGCACTGTGTGGGCAAGTGTAACAAAATAAATAATTAGTTGACTGTCATCTGCATAGCTGTGGTAGAAAAAGCCTTGTAAGTACATAACAGAGTTGGTCTTTGTAAGCATGAAAGACCAGGGGACCCAGAACCGAACCATGAGGACCCCATAGTAAGGTAGAGACAAAGAAGTTACCCTGTAAGTGTTTTAGAAAGACATGGAAGAAGAGAAACCGGTCTGTAATTCTATAGATAAGAAGGGTTAAGTGGTTTTCTAATTTACTAACATTTCCAAATATACATTTAATGTGTATTTCAACTATCTCATTCACAGAAAATGTTGCCTTGCGTGGAAAAGCCACCCAGTCAGACCGTCATGGGGATAACTATGGGGCTGCCTACAATGCTATTGATGGAAACCGTGAGTCCAACTACTTTGCTGGAACGTGCACAAGGACTGATGAGCAGACCAACCCCTGGTGGAGAGTGGACCTGCTGGAGTCCTACATCGTCACCTCCATCATCATCACCAACAGAGGAGACTGCTGTGCTGAAAGGCTCAACGGGGCAGAGGTTCATATCGGCAACTCTTTGCAAGACAATGGTGCCGCAAACCCAGTGTGAGTGATCTTAAATACTTCATAGTTTATATAGTAGAGGACTATATAATCACCAAAGACGTATAAATAAACAAGTGACGTTTGTTGTTTGAAATACTGCCTTCTTCTGGCAGGTTATGTGTAATTTCTTCTTTTATACGTTTATACTTTTAAAGTACTGCAGTTTTAAAACAATGTCCTGCAATGCTTCCTCTTTCTCTTTTTCAGGGCTGCTGTAATTCCTCACATCCCAGTTGGCAGGTCTTTAAAAATCACTTTTACCGGACTTGTGGAGGGACGTTTTGTGATTGTGGTTCTACCGGGTTTAAAAAGGATCCTTACACTCTGCAAAGTGGAAGTCTACGGGTTCCGTGCCCCAACAGGTGAGAGTTGAATATATTTGGATGAAGTCACACATGGTTTGATTTTCGAGTTGATGCCTCTGCCTCTTTTTATATAAAGCTCACCAGAGTTTGAACTGCTTTCATTTGAAAAACTTCAGGCACTTCCTGTTACTACAGTAATAAAGACAATCTCTCTTTTATTAGATTAGTTAATTGTGAGAAGAACAGTTCTCAACAGTCTCCTGGACTCTGGATAGTTGAAGAAAACAATTTATAAATGTACACTAGTAGCTGCTGGTTCATCCCTCCAGTTTAGCAATGCTGATCTAAATATAAAACATGCATCCTCACAACTTTCACTGCAGTTAGGAGAATAAACAAATACTTGTGGAATCCACTTTCAAGACATACACAGATTGGGGCCACATTGTTTTTCAGAAAGCATCAAGGAAAACCCATTATCAGTGTTGATATTTTCAAATGTGTGCTTTGTGCAGCACAGAACCTGGCAATCCAAGGGAAAGCCACACAGTCATCGCTGCATTCTACAGGCATTACAAGCAATGCTATTGATGGGAATCTAAACACCGTCTGGAGCCAGGCTTCTTGTACTCACACCGGATCCGAATTGAACCCTTGGTGGCGCCTGGACCTTGGCAAAACCCACAAAATATTTTCTGTTAACATAACCAACTACAGAGATGTTAACTTACAACTTGTTGGAGCTGAGATTCGAATTGGAGATATTCTTGAGAACAATGGCAACAGCAATCCCAGGTACTTTAATGTCCATTAACTAAACATTTGTACAGTTATAGAGAATTATCATTGGGTATGTTTGAAACAACTAATTATGCGCGATAAAACAATTATAATTATTGAACATAGGTTTGGCATAACGTAGCATATATCTTACATTTCTCACAATAGTAATAAGAGATTTCTTAGAGTTCATTTATTAAACTGATTTTTTTATGTTTTAACAAAGTATTTTCTTCTTCTTCAAGGTGTGCTGTGATTTCAAGAATTCCTCCAGGTTTCACTGAAAGCTTTCAGTGTAACGGGATGGACGGTCGCTACGTCAACATCGTCATTCCTGGGAAAACCGTTAACCTGGTGCTGTGTGAAGTGGAGGTGTACGGCTCCAGACCAAGCGGCAAACTCTGGGGAAGAGCCGGGACGCCAATACGGAAGTGCCATAAACTGCAGTTCATATATTGGCCGATAGGCGATGACTGCAGAAAGGAGCAATTTCCATAGACCCCCATGTTAAAATGCCCATTTTCACAGCAGAAAAAAAACGTTTCTAGCCCTGGATGCAATAAATATTATTATGTATATAGTTAGATTCCACCTTCATGATTATGAATCTGTGAGTGAATTGTTTTCTAACATGACCCTTTTATTTATATTAGGTCTTAAAGTTTTTGCATAAATTAGGGCGTGGTCACATTGAGTGACAGCTCTGTCAAGTGACTGCTGCTGTTAGCTTCTTGTCTCTCTGCTAGCTGCTCCGTCTCCGTGAAGCTACAGGGACTCTCCATGCTCAGTTCATCCAGGGAACACAACTTGACCCCGGCCGTGTTTGTTTGTTCTTCATGCTTATATATCGGACTATTGTGACTCGCTCTGCGGTTAAAACAGACGGTGCATGAATGCCGTTTTGCGGTAAGTGAAATTCGAGTACTTTATTTATGTGTTTATGATTTCAATCAGCTACGTAATGAATGTTAAGGCTTGGGTTAGCGTGTCAGCGAGTGGTAGCTACATCGGTGCTAACGATGCTAATCTTAGCCTCCAAGTTAACTTAAAACCATAGACTGTATATATAAAGGTTAAAACGAAATAGACAAGTGTTAAGCGTTAAGTGGGATAATACTGTAGAACAAACGGCTTCTGTTTGAGGTTGATAAAATAAGGTCATCCTTGTAACTTAGAGAGATATTTTATTATGTAGGTAGGAACTGTATGCATCGCTAAGGTTAATTTAAATTGGCTATGCTCAAGTATGTAGACAAGCTAATGTCGAAGTAGTGTATGTGAAATCAACCTCACAATAAGATGTGTGTATATTACAATTATTAATGTCATATTTCAAGATGATTACTTAGATATTACAATATGGTTGGTTGAGCTGGAGTTCATTATTGAGCTTACACGTTAACATCAGAGTCATCTGAAGAACGAACCCAAACCTTGTTGTTTTTATTAATTGCATTACCAAATTGGTATCAAATAAATAGTAAGCATTGGTAACACAACTTCCAAAGTTACAGTAAAATAAAAAGGACCCTGACTCGGACAATACACAATCCAACATGTTCAACAGAAGAGAATAAGTTATATTGTTTGTACACATGGTTCTTTACATACATATCTGTTTGTTTAAAGTGCCCAGGTTATGCAGACAGGCTGGACCAGAGAGTGAGAGACAGAACTGGACTCCTCACAGCAGTGAACTTCAGCACAGGTGCAAATACTCTTTTTTCATACTGTACAAAGAATCAAGAAAGATATTGGTTTAAATAAATGAAGTATTGACTTTAATACACTGCTATACATTCCATTAAACAATACTGTTATATTTGTTGACAGTTATATTAATGTGTTAAATGTTAACATTATTATCACCTACTGAGGTTTAAGGGTGCTTGAAACTCACACAGACACATAGTCCAGTAAATGGAAAGTTTTATTCTTGCAACATGTAAGTAAATAAGGAGTGTACATATATGTTGAGGTTACATTATGACATTAGTTGAACGTACATTGCAACAATGTTAACATGCAATTCCCCAAAACATACATTTGTACTTCCTGGTCAGATTATAAGAGATAAAATAGTAAAGTTAAGGTATATTTTTGCTAATATGCTGATCCTACAAGGTACAAAATCACAGTTTGACTTAATCATTTGCATCTGGATTATAATATTGATGATGAAAAAGGCATTGAAAGAAAATGGTGTTGTGACATCATCAAAAGCAGAAGATAAAACCAGAGAAGGTCTGATCAGTTCATGGATTTTTGTAAATACTTTTTTCTGACATGATTCATTTAAAACCGATTGACTATAATGTATTTCATTTATTATATTAATATATGTCCCGTTGCAGGCCAAATTGGTCGCTTTCCACATTTTCTTAATTATAAATGTGACAGTTTAACACAATAAAAGTAGAGTGGAAAATGTATCCGTTAATATTCATTATATTTGGCAAGTCAGGTTACGTTTTTGTTGGAGAGTCTCTGGTTAAACAAGGTACAAGTCCCATCAATATACAGCTAGCAAAAGAAGATTAAGCTATGATTGTAATTAATGTATCAATAAGATTATCAGATGTTAAAAATCTTTCTCCTCAGACCTAATCCAGTCTGGAGCCGTACACCTCCACCTCACAGAGAACCAGGTACTCGTATCTCCCAGGAATGAAGATGTTGATGTAGCGACCGTCCATCCCGTTACACTCAAAGGTTTCGGTGAAACCTGCAGGGATGCTTGAGATCACAGCACACCTAGCAGAAGAAGACATGTGTTTGTCTTTGAATGATCATTTGAACACATTTTGGTAAAAAATATTTTAAAGAGATATTACTGTGAGTATTGCCAAACCTATATATTATTATATTATAAGTGTGGTTCCAAACAAAACTAATGACAAATATTCAATCACAAACTTTAAGCTACAGTAGTAACACAATTAGAGGTCTGTAAAGTACCTGGAGTTGCTGTTGCCATTGTTTTCCAGAGAATCTCCAATTCTGATCTCAGCTCCATTAAGCGCATAACCATCTAGACTTTTGGTAACTTTAACAGAAAATATTTTGTGGGTTTCAACCAAAAAAAACCTGAAAAACGTTTTCATTATCATAACACTATAATGCACAAACAGGAAAGTACACTCTCCAGTGGTAACATATGCAGTAGAAAATGGAGGTCAAGGAAAGTTGTACAGATGCATTGATTTATTTGTATTGGAGAAAGTGCAACAGCAGCTAGCAGAAGTGCATTTGTATATCGGTGTCAACAGTGGGATGACAAATCATAACATTCGAGAAACTGTTTCTTTAGAGAATTTACCAAGCCAATAAATAATTTAAGATGAAATAGCTTGGTGTGACTGCAGCTGTATTAAAAGCTGCCGATTGCTTCAAACTTTCATTCTTAATTCAGTTATAAAATGACAGAAAGAGTTGTGTTTTTTATGGCAAAACAAGTAGACTGCCTCTAACTGTGCCCTGTCAGACCTTTTTTGTAAATATCTGAATTTGTTGTGAAATACAACTGTATGGCCTTTAAAAGGTTATCTTTCTATCTCATTGTATTTTTTGCCAAAGGAAGTTGTTATTAATGCTTTCTACAGAAAAACACACAAACGGCTCAGGCATACAGAGGAAACTGGTCTTTGTTTGGGCCTCCAGACATACATTAGTTGTTGAACTTTAATATTGTCTGTGGCCCTTCAGTTATCAAGATACCACTCTTACAGACATGATGGGGATTGATCTTCTGATCTAACTTTGGGTAAGAAAGCTTTCAGATGTCTTTTATAATATTTGTCTATTTTATCTGTATTTAAATAAATAAAAAACTTCCCTTCAGAACCATTGCTTTCACTGTTCTTAAATGATTGATAGAAAAAAAGAATCAGTTATTTTCTTATGGGATAAGACAAGCACATTCGCAGAAGGTGTACAAGTCCCGTGTAAAAGCAAAAGTCAAGGCAGAGGTTTTTTCTGTGGGGTCATTTGGTGCAATGTTGAAGCACTCTCCACCAGTAAATATTGACGTCATGCAAACAATCACATCATTAATCCAAATCTATAAAATAACTAAAGGCATTAAATAAATGTAGAGGAGTAAGGCAAGGCAAGTTTATTTATATAGCACCTTTCAACACAAGGCAATTCTACGGAGCCCCCTAGGGGACATGTGTTAGGATGGCGTGGAAGGGTAGGACCCAAATGCAGACTATCAAAAAGGTAACAGGTCTCGTAACAAAAGCGAGCTTTATTTTAAAAGCTGATCAAAACAAGGCATGAAACAAATGGGTTGTACAAAAAACTGACCGTGACCCACATGGAGGGAGACAGGAGAGACAACCGTGACTGACATGGAGGAAGACAGGAAAAACCAACAATGAACCGACAGGGGAACACAGGAAGAGACAACACTAAATACAGGGAGGGGTAATCACAAGACAAGACACAGCTGGGGTAAGAGAGGCAGAAACACAAGGGCAACAGGTGAACACAATCAGACAAACCAGGGGAACTAATGACAGGAAGGCAAACACAGGAAGAAGGAACAGAGAAGACACAAGGAGGAAAACATTTCAAAACAAAAGGTGGAAAATGAAAACATAAATACAAAACCGTAACAGAACCCCCCCCTCAAGGGACGGATTCCAGACGTCCCAAGAAAACCCCCAAAAGTCCAAAAAATTCCAGCAGGGTGGGTGGAGGGGGTCTGGAGGACGGGTTTGGGCTGACAGCCCAGGGGCACAGCGGAGGACCCGGAAGGGGTCTCGGGCGGACGGCCCGGGGGCAAGGCAGAGATCAAGGAGGGGGTCTCGGGCGGACGGCCCGGGGGCAAGGCAGAGTTCAAAAAAGGGCGAAGACCACAGCGGGCGAACTCAGGGGGCCGGGCATGAGAGCAAAGGCAGCGGCTGAAAGCGTCAGGAGGCCGGGCTCGAGGGCGAAGGCCACGGCTGGGGAAATCAGGGGGCCGAGCTCGAGGGCGAAGGCCCCGGCACTCAGGGGGCCGGGCTCGAGGGCGAACAAGAAGGCGTCGACGGGACAGCTCCGGAGGCCGGGCAGGAAGGTGCTGACGGGACAACTCCGGAGGACGGGCAGGAAGGCGCTGACGGGACAACTCCGGAGGCCGGGCAGGACCCGTTGTCGGCCAGACAGGAACCGGAGCCGACGGAACAGGCGTAGACGGGATCCTGGACATGACATGGACTGGTGTCAATGGGACCCCGGATGGAGCAAGGGCTGGTGTCGACTGGACCTCCAACGGAACAGGACACAGAGTTGGCAGGACCCCCGGTGGAACAGGTGTCGGCGGGACCTCCAACAGGACAGGACACAGAGTTGGCAGGACCCCCGGCGGGACAGGTGTCGGCGGGACCCCCAACAGAACAGAACATGGAGCTGGCAGGACCCCCGGCGGGACAGGTGTCGGCGGGACCCCCAACAGGACAGGACATGGTGTAGGCAGGAAATCTGGTGGAGCAGGTGTCGGCGGGACCCCCAACAGGACAGGATCTGGTGTTGGCAGGAAACCTGGCGGAGCAGTAGTCGGCGGGACCCCCAACGGGACAGGACATGGGGTTGGCAGGACCCACAGCTGAACCCCCAACGGCACATGACACAGGGTTGGCAAGACCCCCGGCAGAAGAGTAGTCGGCGGGACCCCCAATGGGACAGGACATGGAGTTGGCAAGACTCCCGGCAGGAGAGTAGTCGGCGGGACCCCCAATGGGACAGGACATGGAGTTGGCAAGACTCCCGGCAGGAGAGTAGTCGGTGGGACCTCCAACAGCACAGGACATAGGGTTGGCAGGACCCCCGGCAGAAGAGTAGTCGGCGGGACCCCCAACGGGACAGGACATAGGATTGGCAAGACCCCCGGCAGAAGAGTAGTCGGCGGGACCTCCAACGGCACAGGACATAGGGTTGGCAGGACCCCCAGCAGAAGAGTAGTCGGCGGGACCTCCAACGGCACAGGACATAGGGTTGGCAGGACCCCCGGCAGAAGAGTAGTCGGCGGGACCCCCAACGGGACAGGACATAGGATTGGCAAGACCCCCGGCAGAAGAGTAGTCGGCGGGACCCCCAATGGGACAGGACATGGAGTTGGCAAGACCCCCGGCAGGAGAGTAATCGGCGGGACCTCCAACAGCACAGGACATAGGGTTGGCAGGACCCCCGGCAGAAGAGTAGTCGGCGGGACCTCCAACATCACAGGACATGGGGTAGGCGTCGGCCATAGAGCCAACAGGACACGGGGCGCTGGAGTCGGCCGGACCACCGACAGAACACGAGGGGCTGGAGTGGGCCGAACCACTGACAAAACACGGGGGGCCGGAGTCGGCCGGACCACCGACAGGACACGGGGGGCCGGAGTCGGCCGGACCACCGACAGGACACGAGGTGCTGGAGTCGGCCGGACCACCGACAGGACACGAGGTGCTGGAGTCGGCCGGACCACCGACAGGACACGAGGTGCTGGAGTCGGCCGGACCACCGACAGGAGACGAGGTGCTGGAGTCGGCCGGACCACCGACAGGACACGAGGTGCTGGAGTCGGCCGGACCACCGACAGGACACGAGGTGCTGGAGTCGGCCGGACCACCGACAGGACACGGGGGGCTGGCGTCGGCCGGGGAGCCAGTACTGGAGCCGAAACTGAAGTCGGGACCATGGCTGCTGGGACCGGAACAGGTGCCGGAACCATGGCTGCTGGGGCCGGAACCATGGCCGCTGGGGCCAGAACTGGGGCCGGAACCATGGCTGCTGGGGCCAGAACTGGGGCCGGAACCATGGCTGCTGGGGCCAGAACTGGGGCTGGAACCATGGCTGTATGGGCCGGTTCTGGAGCCGGAACCATGGCTGTGAGGGCCGGTACTAGAGCAGGCACCATGGCTGCTGGGCACGGAACCGGAACAC